AGTATTATAGCTATCTACATTACTTTATGTACTGTCATGATACCACATAACTACTGTGGTGGTTTTATAATGCTTTGAAGAAGTTTACGATTCGAGGTTCTGTACCTAACAAACACGTCTCAAGTAAAATAGGGAGGAGTTGGGATGTAGTCTGAATCGTGTGGCTCTATGTCGACTAGGTATGCCTTCATCACGAGAGTTCCTCATTGATACACTAAACATTTGTAGCACAAACTGTGCCTAAATCTTCTGCATCAAAACTGAACAGCTAACATTTTACCTAAAACAGGGGAAATGAAAACAGGACTGCGATAGTACTTAACAAAACACCAGCATACAAGAGTTCAGTTAGGTAGGATTCATAATAATCATGTATCTACGCAGTTTGTGGAAGCTCTTCTCGTGCCTGAACACTCACCCCACAAAACTATTTCAGGCAAACATATGGTTTTCAGAGGACCATGTTGAGGTAGCGACTCACATCCATCTATGAATGCCACGCAACCCATACACGTGTGTTGACAAATGTTTTCATATCTCCCAGCAATTGCTAGATGCCCTGAGAGTCAACAATAGTGTGACAGCCCTCATTGTCAGGGTAGGTGGTATTGGAACTGGTGCTGCATTCACAGATACTGGGGGTCTTGCTCCTCTTGGAGTATCCCTTCTTGCTAGTGCATTTGCTTGTACTGCTACAGTGCTCACTCAAGAGCAAAAAAGGCTGTGGAAAAAGGAAACATAAATGCAAAGAAAAGCCAATGACTTCATTTTCAGCGACTTTGACTCATTTGCTATCCCATGAGCTGATAGCTATTTAGGAAACAGTACAAGCTGGCTTAATGCTGCATTTCCAGTGGCCTAATGTAAATACTCTCGGCTATCCAGTTAGCTATTCAACTTTACACTAACCAAAAAGATATATACCTCTGTGTTTAGACATAATTATACCTCTGTGTTTTTGGGTTTGGATAGCTATGAGGATACACTAGGTGTTACTAGATGTTTACCTAGCACTCAGAGTTTGCATGAATACCCATTATTCTACTACTTGTTTCCAAACACATAGAGTGTGTTTACTTCGTGTTTACTTTAAAATTATTTCCCCGCAACACACTGATAGGAATTACACATGCCCCCAAAAATGCTCACTTTCACTATGACATCTATTCCTAATGCTCTGTAAACAAGCGCACCCACATAAAACAAAACATTTTTAGTTATTCACTTAGTCCCCAGCAGTATAGAGGGAGGCTGAATTTCTGCTTGAAAGATATAGAAGATGTATCTTGAATGTCGGCATCTAAAAATGTGCCTTGAACTGTTCATTATTGCTCTTTATGTTGGTGGAATAATGTATCTGGGTGTGGAAGGAAACTGTTATTATGTGACACCAGAGAATGGCACAGATAAGTGTGGGGGATGTACCAGCCATGAGTGCTATCCATTATCTTATTACGTGAGTAATACCTCAATTTTAAGTAATAACACTGCATTCATTTTTCTGCCTGGAGAGCATGACCTGTATATACAATGTATGGAACTTCACATTTCTCGAAAGTATTAGCCTTGTGTCCTCATGCAATGGCTCCATGCCATTTGAAACATCAGCAAATATAACATGCGGCAATAGTGTTGAATCAGGACTTTTGTTTGAGAATGTGAGTGACCTTACGATTGCTGGTCTGAGATTGTTTTAACTGTGGAAACATTTCAAATGACTATGAGACTAAACACATGGTGAGTGCACTGCTACTGCTGAATGTGTGGAACTTAACCATGTCTTGGGTAGAGATCCATGACTTTATTGGCTGGGGAATGTACTGTTTCCTTGGAGACTCGGTCATCTCTGACACTATCATAAGTAACGGGGCACTACTCTGGAGATAAAAGCGGTGGGAACATGAGATTGAAGTATGTAGATTATGATTATGACAACAGGAACCACACCCTTTTGGTATCACACTCTGTCATTCAAGGTGGTCGTGAGAATCCAAAGGATTATAAAGCATATGCAGGGGGGTTGATATTTACCTCATGACAAGGAGAAGAGTACATATAATGTTCAAACTTGTCACACTTGAAAACAACAGTGGATATGACGGTGGTAATGCAGCAATTACATACACTACACTACAGGATGGTTGGAACAGCTCTGTCACTTTCATTAGCTGCAACTTTTCGAGAGGAACTGCTGCACATCGTGGGGGAGGGATTTTCTTTGAGGCAATGCTGAAAAACAGACCATCTCTTAATTTTGCACACAATCAACTGGTTTTGGAAGTGACTGACTCAGTTTTCACTGAAAATAAAGCAAACACTGTAGGCGGAGGAGTGTACTTGCAGGTTCATGAGAATCAGAACCTTACGGCACTTGTTGAGGCAAACTTTACAAACTGTAATTTTACTGGAAACATTGTTACCAGACCCATCAGTGCTCAAGGTGGTTTTGCTGTACATTTTGTCAACTTCAAGTTGCCGGGATCTGTCCCTCATCACCTTCCCCAATATGGAATCACTTTCGCAGAATGTCTTTTCCAGTATAATGGGCCATCGATGAGAAATCCATCCTCACTGGGTTGTGGAGTATTGTACATCTCGGAAAACGGACGGACATCTCGCACAATAATTGTACTGGCCTAGCTGCGGCTCAAAGCACAATAGAAATGTATGGCAGTAGCTATCACAATACAAAACAACACAGACTTTAATGGCGGGGGAGTTTTACTCTGTGCTAACTCCGTAATGTTTATAACAAAAGGTGTACAGATGAGCATAGCAAATAATCAAGCTCAAAACTATGGTGGGGGAATATATTATGCTGAATTTGAGTGTTCTCAAGCGATTGCTCCATGCTTCTATGGAACTGAAACTAAAGACAAATCTGTATTTCTTGTTAACAATGGAGCCATAAAGCCTGGAGATGCCATTTACGGAGGTTCTATTGACCACTGCTTTACAGCTTCAAACTCAGTTCTGGAGAATGGCACAAACAGGGTAACATTTGATGAGCTATTCAGTGTAAATCAGAGCAGCAAATATATATCCTCTGATCCTTCTCAAGTGCGTTTTTGCGACTCAAAATAGTTTGACACAAGCAATTGCACACCACTGTACTACTATCCAAATAATGTGTAGCTACCCAGGAGTGGTGATAAAAGTGCACGTGGTTATAGTTGGTCAGAGAAACGGAACAGCTCCTGGTGTAGTTGGTGCATCTTTTGATTAACCAGAACAGCAGTGCGAAATGAAAAGCACTAAAGTGCAAACCCTCGGCGAAGTAGCTCGCAGAGAGTCTGACACGGGCTAGCTACAGTAGTAGATATAACACGCGAGAGTCGATACACGCCATTCGTTGTGACTTCTTGTGCCTTCAAGATAGACAGAGCAAGCGGACCCGGTCGAGGTATAATGCCTGTGCTAAATATAAGCGCATGCGCATTATCCGCCAGCGATAAAATGGCGACTACTCGGCATTAGCCATACAATGCTGGAAGCGTTCTAGCTTTGCAACGGAGCATTTTCAGAGAAAACCCCACAAATTTTCTGCCCTTCATTGCCCGTTGGGTAGATGGTATCGTTTCTGGGACGAACAGACGTTCGAGAGGTGAGATGTAGAGTAACAGACACACACGGACAGACAGACCCAACTACAGTACCCTAGCTGCGCATGCGCGCCGAGGGTAAATATACTAGTGGATATGTTGAACATTGTTGGCGAGCGCGGGAACGACCCAACTTGGAATTTGCCCGCGATGTTCGGGCTGCATTACGTGTCAGCGCACAGCTTTCCTTTCGTGAAGCAAGACAGATCTACCTGCCGCCGTCTACATGCGTATTGTACATTGGCAGAATGGTGAGCAGGTGAGCAGAAAAGTACTTACCTTACGCTTTTAACTCGTCAGTCGTGGTCCACCAGGCAGCTGGCATGCAGCAGTATGTGCACGAGCAATCCTAGCGGATTTTCAAGTTGCATCTTGGAACCATGAAGATATACAGCCTCGGTCGGTCACAAGATCGGTCATTAGCCGCAGAATGCCGGAAGCGCTCTAGCTTTGCAACGGAGCATTTTCAGAGAAAACCGCCTTTATATTTTTCTGACCTTCATTGCCCGTTAAGTAGGTCGTATCGTTTGTGAGACGAACAGACATGCATTCGAGAAGTGAGATTGACAGACAGACAAACCCAACTACAGTACCCTCGCTGCGCATGCGCGCCGAGGGTAATAAATTGGCTTGCTCCCGCTCGCCAATTATATTTCAGAATCTGAATTGATTCTGCAGCATTATGTCAAGAACTCCGATATTCAATCAGCATAAATGACACTAACATTCAGACAATAGAAGAATACAATGTTTCACTTTCAGTTGAAAACAGATACTTTCAAACACTCAGTCCAAATAGGTAGGTATACCCCAGCCTTTATAAATTTTAATGTCAAACTGTGTCCTTATGGATTTGAAATGTCGGATTCAAAATGCCATTGTGTGGATGCTTTGAAAAACATGTTACATGGTATAGAATGTTATATCAGTGGCCAATTATTCACACGACCGGGGAATGCTGAATGATGGATGGGTTTCGACCATGGTTCAACTTTAATATTTAGCCAGTACTGTCCTTTTGACTACTGCCGGCAAAGTGTTAAGGATATAGACTTGAACGATGGAAGTCATGAGTGTGCTTTCAAAGGAACTGGGATTTTGTGTGGAAGATGTTCCAAGGGTTTAAGTATAATGTCTTTGGTTCTTCAACATGTACAGACTGTCGCTCCTATACCCTTTAGAAAACATTGGGACTAACATTGTTATTTGCAATTGTCGGACTTATTCTACTTCTAATGATGGGTCTCTTGAATTTAAATGTAGCAGAAGGTGCAATAAACCCAGTGTTATTCTATGTGAACGTTGTACAGATAAATCACAGTCTGTTTTTTGACTCGTGTAAAAATAATTCTTTCTGTGTGGAGAAGTTTCTTGGAGTGTTTGTGGCGTGGATGAACTTGGATCTAGAGCTGGACACATGCTACTACCATGGGATGACTGTCATTGGAAAGACAGCAATCCAGTTTGTTTTTCCATTCTACCTCTGGATATTGACTGGACTCATCATATACTTTAGTCGTAGCTGTGCACTGGTGTCGAGAGTAGCTGGAAAGAACAGTGTCAGACTACTTGCAACGATAATTCTCTTGTCGTACACCAAACTGATTCGAACAGTCATCGATGTGATGTGGCGATCAAAACTCTATCAGCTCAATGACACTCACATCACCTACTATGGCAGTGTCTGAAAAATGGATGGAAATGTTCAATACTTTGGTAAAGAGCACAGATACCCATCCTTGTTTGCTGGTTTGGTTGCAGTCATAACTCTGCCCTACACTTTTGTTTTGCTGTTCATAAAAGGATGTCACATTTCAGGGCTCTGTTTTGGGTAGTAAAATGGAAGCCTTTCTTTGATGCCTATACTGGACCATACAGAGACAAGTATATACCACTTTTGGCCTGGTTTTCTTCTGTTGGTACGTATCTTTCTTTTTGTCGCAATTGCCAGCAATGTAAGTAAAGGTCCCATCCTAAATCTTAGTCTGGTGTGCACCACTGCTTCTATACTGTTTCTGTTAAGTCAACCTGTAGTGTACAAGACATGGTTTCTGTCACTGATTGAGTCATTCACTTACTTTAACCTAGTACTCTTTTCCATCAGAACTGCATATGTCCTTCAGCAAAATTCAAAAGATGACACAGCCGGAGATTACCCAAGGAGAACAGTGTATCTGTGCATTGGGTCAATGTTCCTTTTGTTTTGTGGAATAGTTGCATGGAATCTCTTCCACATTGTTGGCGGAACTGACTACTGGGGACGAGAAGAAGTGGCCATGGAGGAAGAGGAAGACAATCAGACCTCTAGTGCTACGGCACTCGGTAATCGACAGCCTCAGCAGCAGCAGTAGTGAGGATGAACTGGACCCAATTCTCCTGAATGCTCCACCTGTCGCTCGCTACGACAAACTGAGGGAGCCTTTGGTCGAAACTAACTAAATTATATTAACTACCTCTTAATTTCTAAAATGATGTCACAGCGTATGTGACAGGAATTAAAGTGCAAACTCTCGTCGAACTGCGCATGTGCGGTACCCCTAAAATTGATGGGCAGGGCTATTAGTATAGTATGCGTTTACTCGTGGTCTCCCGTGAGTAGCTCGCAGAGAGTCTGACACGGGCTAGCTACAGTAGTAGATAGCACGCGAGAGTCGATACACGCCATTCGTTGTGACTTCTTGTGCCTTCAAGATAGACAGAGCAAGCGGACCCGGTCGAGGTATAATGCCTGTGCTAATATAAGCGCATGCGCATTATCCGCCAGCGATAAAATGGCGACTACTCGGCATTAGCCGTACAATGCTGGAAGCGCTCTAGCTTTGCAACGGAGCATTTTCAGAGAAAACCCCACAAATTTTCTGACCTTCATTGCCTGTTAAGTAGATCGTATCCTTTGTGAGACGAATAAACACTCGAGAAGTGAGATTGAGAGTAACAGACACACACACAAACCCAACCCTCTCTGCGCATGCGCGCCAAGGGTTAATTAATGTACCCTCGCTGCGCATGCGCGCCTAGGGTAATAATTGATAAGATAATTCAAGTGAGTCTATATATCTGAATGGGCTTTGACAGATGACATCACTATGTTTTATGCAACTTCGGAATTCAATCTTGTATGCCTCTCTAGTTTGCTCGCCAATATGTAGTGTATATACGCACATCAATCTATCGTGTACGTACATCACAGTTGGGTTTGCTTTATTGTCTTGTGTGTTGTGAAAAACGTGTCATGTATATACCATTGTCACAGAAAGGGAGAGAGAGTGTAAGTACTAGTTGTCACTGAGATCTTCTTTGTTTATCACTCTTCTCTTCTTGGCGGTGGGTTTGGTGGAGACAGTCTGCAGAGGTCTCTTGCCAGCACCAGCAGAGGGTGCGCCACTCCCCTCCTCCTGCAGAGGGGTGTGGCAAAGTCCAATGAGTTAGGAGTTCATTTAATGAGAAAGGAATGGGGAAGAGGAATGGGAAGAGCAGCTACAGTATTTATAGGAGTTCTAGCCCAGTAGTGACTGGGTTACTGGTGACTATATAGGCTCATGTGTCAGAAATAAGGCAGTCACAGGAAAGGGTGGGTAGTTGAGTGAAATGTAAGAGGGCCTGTGTGTTTTACCTGACTCTTAGCAGACGAGGAATCAGGGAGACCCGAGGCCACCTTGAAGAGCTTGTCAAACCTATGCACCAACCAGGCAGACACATCGTATTATGCATCTACTATCGCTCAACAAACCCCACTGTACACAACAATCAACAGAGTAGAAACGCAAGAAAAAGGCATATCAATGACCCCCAGGACACAACACCTTTACTCAAAGACTGCCCTGGGTGGGACTAAACCCAAGACACTCTGCTCTCTAGGCAGAGTGTTGCACGTTTGGCTGTCTCCTAGGATTCCTCACCTACCTTTCTCTGTAGTATTTGTCAGCAGAGAACAGCTTGCAGAGAGCTTTAGCCACTGCCCCATCAGCAGCTGAGAAGAACAGTGTATATATAATACAGTGTTTGTCAGATACAACAGAGCTTAGTCTAGCAGCAGAACCTTCAAAGAGAGCGTTTCCCTTCAAGTATTGGAGGAGGTTTTGAAGGTGGGTCAAAGTCAGAGATAAGGTGTCCCTGGGAAAGGTAGTATGGAAATATATATTCTGTTTCATGTTAGTGTAGCTATTGAGAGTACACAATGTACACAGTTATTATGAAAGTGCAGAGTTTCAAGCATTCAGGAATAAAGATTCAGTATACACAGGGTTCCTTGTCCAAACGTTTGTAGTAGTTGAAAGAATATCCATAACAGTTTTACCTAAATACGTGACAATAGTGGGACATACTTGCCACTCTTGTCCAGGAAGTGGGACAAGTATTTGGCGTATTTGCTGGGTTTGGCATTGATCCAGCGAGACCCGGCGGCTGTCACCAGTCCGCTGTGCCGGAGAGGCAGGGAGAAGAGCTCTGATACTCCCAGCAACCCACTCCTGTTGGCGGGAGAGAGAACAGTGGTCACACAGTAGTAGGAGGAAGTGGACTTATGCCCAATTAATGATGTCACACAGTCTGGGACCTGATGTAAAGTTGCAGGAAATGAATGCATAATCGTGTGTTAAGCGTAGGAAGGTTTCATGGGACGTCACATTGTGCTGTTTTTGTACTACAGCAACATACACAGTGAACTATGTTTTTGTGCAGGCATAATTATCAGCATGCATGCATACAATGATACTAGCTAGTCAAGGATACCAGCACAATGATTACAGTATATACTTACGCCTCGGCTCTGAGGAACAGGATTGCACCTGACAATGCCTCGTGGTGCTCTACAGTAAAATACAACAACGGGTGTAATACAACAGCAAATTGAACAGCCCCCTTCATTATGACAATGATTGTGTACGCAAGGAGCCCGACCTTGAGCGTCAAATTTGCCGATGGCGGGGATGACGAGACTGGCGTCTGGTCCCTCTGCACACAGCAACTGCCACACACAGAACTGCTCAAAAGAGTCCAGTCCCAAACTACTCTCTGCAAGTAGGAGGATAGTGTGAGAGAGTAATTTAACCAACAGCAGCAGTGGGAGAAAGAGAGAGACAGAGAGAGAGAGTGTGTGTGTGTGCAACGAAGAAGTGGTGAAGGTAGACAATGAGAGAGAGAGAGAGAGGATGGCAGTAGTGGAGTGAGAGACTACATGTGTGTGCGTGCATAAATTCAACGGAAGAGAGAAGAGAGAGACAGACCGTGCATGTGTATATTCAGGCAGCAAAGGAAAAAGAAAGATGGAAGAATGGTGAGACAGACACAGAGATTGTGAGTGTGTTCAATGGGAGAGAGAGAGAGAGAGAGAGAGAGTGAGAGAGAGGGTGTGTGCGTATTGAGGGAGGAGAGAGAAAGTGTGTGTATGTGTGTTTGTGAGGGAAAAGGGACTCACCGATGAGGTGCTCAATGCCGGCCTTATCATTACCAAAGATGGCAAAGTCTCTGACCATCAACTGCTGCATGAGAATCTGCAGCTATAACACCAGGAGACACACAGAGCCCATTACGCATTAGGTACATATGTAGACATGTATAACATGGACACATAACACTGATGGAGTATACTATACATACATAGCAGTTTTACAGACTGTACATGGATACCAGTGGCAAAGCCTTGTGGGGATGAATCTCATTAGTTCAGAACCACAAGTGCTGCGCTCATGGCAGCCTTTATAAACTCGTGATGCCAGAGAGAGAGAGAAGTTGTATATGCTCTGCTGATGAGGGCCAACAAGCCCGAAACAGCAGTCCAGAGCTCCGCATCTTTTTTCTCTTGGCAGCACATGGTATTTTCTACATGTGCACAACGTTCTAGTCGATTGTGGATCAACGTACGTGTGCGGGATCAATGTTAGCCACAATGACGCTTAGTAACTCTTCACAATGCTTTAGCTCCACTGCAAACTGTATAAAAGGGAGTTCTAGCCAAAATGCATACATACGTACGTATTAGAAACATACTTCTTTGTATATGAGAGGCAGAGAGTCGAAAAAGAGACTTGATTCTTTCTCCACACATTCCTATAACAGGAAGGATCACTAGTACTTAGTATATAGGGATGGGCATGTATGCCTCTTTTTTATTCGCAGGATTTTTAATTTACTTCTACAAAAGCAACAGCTACTTATATACATCATCACCCAAACCTATTATAGGTTAATATATTATAGTATATATACCTTGAGGTCAGCTACAAGAGCAGAGATTAGGGTGGGGTGTATGGCACACTGAGAGGTGAAATCCTTGTACTTTGACAGTTGGTCACTGCAGAACATGTCGTGTTTAAATGAATACGTGGATTCGTGTTAGGTGTAGCTGTTAAGGTGAATGTTGTATATATACCGATAGTGGTGGAGTAAGAACATGAGGAGAAAGTATCCAGTACTGGGCTCATGGTCAGACAGAGAGACAAGGAGAGCAAGAGCTGACTCATCTTCACTCGCACATCTGCATGGGGGAATAAAGTTACACAGATTATTAATTATGCAAAAATGTCAGAGAATGTCAGAGAATACGTACTTGCATAGGGCCATAGAGGGCCTCTCGCTTTCCCTAGAAAAAGAAAAGAAAAAAAGAAAAAATTCATAGAATGTGAGACAGGTGAAATTAGAGGGGCTGACCGTAGTGATAAGGTGTCTTCGGGTCTGAAGCCTGTGGCAAAGTCTTGTTCGAGAGCCCTGGCCACCAGGCCACCCACCACCGACATCCCCTCCTCCCCCAACACACTCCTCTGCACACACACACAGGACACACAGGGGGACTCATTCTTATTCTGAACACAAACAACAGTATATACTGAGGCTAGGTTCACAACAATATGTTGTGTTGCCCTGTCACTCGCTGCCATTTTGCGTCGTGCTGCGAAGATAGAAATGGGATTCTATCCTCGTGACGCGGCAATGTAGGACGGTGTGATGGGGTACTGCACCCATTAGCCTGAGCCATACCACCCTGGCACCTCAGTGGCTTGAGCAAGTTCCCAAAAAAGGCGAGCTACATAAAACATCAATGAACTGACCTTCTCACGAATCATCTGCACTACTTCATCCAGAATGGCTGGCTGTACAACACCCTCACTGCATGCACACACTCACTATCACACGGCCATACTAATAGTACGATAGTACATTAACTGACTTGTCGAGCAGTAGGGATAAGAGGGTCTCTCTGATACTCTCAGGCAGTAGACATAGCCTGTCTTCCTCCTCTCCTCCCATCTCCACCTCACCATCTACCCCCTCTACCCCCTCCTCAACGGGCTCTGGGGAAATCTCTGCTATTGCCACAAACCCCTGACTACTTCCTCCGTGGGGCTCTCCTTCCTTTCCCTCCTCATCACCTGAAACAACACCCAACAATAGAAATAGTAAGCAACAAACATAAGGGAGCCGACCTATATAGTCTTCTGAACGTGGGATTTTTCCATTAAAACCTACACTGCACAAAAATGCTCTTCTTTTGCAGTTGGATACCTTCTATCCTTTATAATGCTAACTGACAGGAGGTATGGCACATATTCTCACTATTTTGGAAAAGTTGACTTTCACACATCCACATTGTGTGAAAAAATTCAGGGGGCTCCAGCAAAAATTAATTGAGGAAGACATTTTAACTAGCCTGGCAAAATAAGTCACTATTGGATATTTGTGTTACTAAACATACCAGAGAATGCTCCTATGATCTCAAGGTCTTCTCCCTGTACCCCTTGCCTCTCTTCCTCCTCCTCTTCATCACTCACTATCACAACTGGCTTCTCTGTACTACCTCCCTCGGCACCTTTATCTGATGATGTAATGATTACATCGTTGTCTTCCGGTACAGAGGGGTGTGGACCTGGCTCTGGCTGGGGGGCAGGAGCTACGAGAGAGGGATGGAATGTAATTACACATACATTTCTCCTGAAAAGTGTACTGCTACTCCAGAAAGGAGAAACCGCCAAATAGACAAATGATAATAAAATGTAGGCTAAAGGGAACCAATATTCAGCAACATTGGCAATACTGATGTGGGCAATTAGTATAGTATGGATTCGGACTAAGTTCCCTTTGCAACGCAGGGACTCCAGCATGCTGTAGTGTTGTCAGACTCTCAGAGCGCTACAAGAGACCACGACAACAGAGTTTATAGCCAAACCCATCAATTAGTGGTAGGCCAGCGTAATGCGAATGGATGTCAACATGTACGTGTGCACCTAGCAGGAGACCATGGTGTAAGACACACACGCACAGTTCACCCCATCAATTAGCAGTACCACGCATGAGCCGTGTGCCGAAGGTTATATTCATATTTGCTCTTGTATGTAAAAGTACACATCAGTCTGTCTTCCCCATCCCAACAACAATGTCTCCCATAACCGTTTAGTTTTCACACACACTCACATCACGTGCACCAGAGTGCTCGCCTAGACTGCAGAGTGTCGTGGGTTCAAATCCCACCCAGGGCAGCTCTTCTTCTTTTCTTTGAAAAGAAAGAGCCGTCCTGGGTGTAGTTGACTTGTTTGCCCTTGCCTTGCCTTTCTACCTCGCTACCAAGTTGTTGAGATATGCACATGACGGCCGCCGACAAAAGCTACCAGCTCTCTTATCTCTACTCGTCCTCTTTCTCCATTAGCCGTACCCAAAACACACAGACAGGCAACAAGAACCATAAAAGCCCCGTAGCTAAACTGTTTTATTGGCAAAGAAGCTACACAATTTGCAGTAACAGGTTGTTTTTATAAGCCGGAAGCTAAGAATAAGTAGTAGCTTGTGATGTACAATGTACAGTATATAACACACTGTTTCTTACCGTGTGTTATATACTGTACTTGTGATGTACAATGTACAGTATATAACACACTGTTTCTTACCGTGTGTTATATACTGTACTTGTGATGTACAATGTACAGTATATAACACACTGTTTCTTACCGTGTGTTATATACTGTACTTGTGATGTACAATGTACAGTATATAACACACTGTTTCTTACCGTGTGTTATATACTGTACTTGTGATGTACAATGTACAGTATATAACTCACTGTTTCTTACCGTGTGTTATATACTGTACTTGTGATGTACAATGTACAGTATATAACTCACTGTTTCTTATCGTGTGAATGTCACAAAAAGTACATATATACAGCTTACATAAGTATACTTATTTGCACTGCAAAAATCAAACACGAAAAAACAGTTTAAAGCAATTTACGATTCCGTTAGCATTTCACCACAATTGAACAAAGAGTGATTGGTCTTAATAGCCACCAATAATGACCTCCATTAGTGGCTAGAAACATGAGTAGAGGCAAGTAATGCTACTGATTATTCCCCTATACCATCAAAGCATCAAAGGCTGCATTACTCCACTGCAAAATCAGTACCGCCTACGTCGTCTACATCTAAGCGTGTGTTTTCATTAAACATCATACTTGCGGCATATCAATGATAATAACACAGACAAGCACCCAAATAACACTTAATAAGATGCCTCAGTACATTTATACCAACCTTGTGGATAGTACTAAGATGATTCAGTACATTTATACCTATGGATAGTACTAACATGCTTCAGTACATTTATACCAACCTTGTGGATAGTACTAAGATGATTCAGTACATTTATACCAACCTTGTGGATAGTACTAAGATGATTCAGTACATTTATACCTATGGATAGTACTAACATGCTTCAGTACATTTATACCAACCTTGTGGATAGTACTAAGATGATTCAGTACATTTATACCAACCTTGTGGATAGTACTAAGATGATTCAGTACATTTATACCTATGGATAGTACTAACATGCTTCAGTACATTTATACCAACCTTGTGGATAGTACTAAGATGATTCAGTACATTTATACCAACCTTGTGGATAGAACACATTTATACCAACCTTGTGGATAGAACATATTTATACCAACCTTGTGGATAGTACTAAGATGATTCAGTACATTTATACCAACCTTGTGCATAGAACACATTTATACCAACCTTGTGGATATATAGAACACATTTATACCAACCTTGTGGATAGAACTCTGGAAAGGTGCTGCGTATGAGTTGTCTCAGACCATCGTCAAACCTGGAACTTTCAAACAGTGGCTCCACTGACCTACAACACACACACATACGTATACATACAGACTTGTTATATACACATGTCGGTGTATAGTAAGAGACTGATGTAGTTTGGGGGGAGGAGGAGGGGAGGAGAGTGTGAGAAACAAGGAAGTTGTCATAAGATAGCTTTGGGAATTAGGCCACCTCAGGCTCCCCCCCCCTACCTAACATTAAGCAACCTCTCTGATAGAGTTATCACTACTACGTGCACCCCACATGCACCCCACATGTGCAGGCTAGCAATATACAGGATGTAGTATAATAGTGCTTCATTTCCACAGAACACTCACACACTATGGAGTACATGGCTAGAAGCAAACTACAAGTCTTCATAATGATTGTCATAAAGGAGATATGCATCGTATTGCGTGGCAACTTGCAGTATGACTTCTTTACTGAGGATGTCCCTGAAGGCAGCCAACACTCCTTCCCTCACTCTCTCTTCCAGACCAGGGCTGAATGTAGTAATTAGCTGTGTAACGAGGGGGGGAGGAAGGCAGGAAGAGGGTTTCATGTGAAGAGATGATGGTGCAATACTGAGAAAAGCAGGTAGCTAAGGAACAGTGAACAACACATGAGGTAGTCTATGTGGGAGCAGTTAGCGACGGAACAGTGAACAAACACAAAAGGAGGAAGGAAGGTATAATGAACAAACTCAATGGTTTCTTGGGGAGCAAATGCAAGAGTTACAAGCGCATGTGCTGCAGCAACGATTGCGAAATTTCAGTTACGTGCATGTGTTGTATATATGTACAATCGCGTAGGATAAGGGTGGCAACGTCAGATACAAATGGAAAGAATTTGCCAGTTGCTGACAAGGGTGGGCTCTGCTGCTGCTGCTCGCCAATAAACGAGGAAGTGAATAGAAAGCATATAAAGTTAACTAATTTTGCCACACCACTTAATTGAAGGTCACTATGTCTGAGGTGGGTACTAAATTTGGCAGCTATTGCTTATTCAGTTCTAACAATTGCCACCACAAAGGCAGTTTTGTTTACAGAACACACTACTAAAGGTGCACCTAGCATGTATGTACAAACTGTATAATAGTACAATTGCAAAATGTGAGGTATGGATTGATAGCACCAGCCCAATGAAGAACAGCAAAATAATGCCTGGACTATCTCACACAGTACAAGTTCAAAGAGTATCTATCCCCAAATTTGCAAGGGCACTTAACCACAGATGATGGACCCAAAAAAATCAGGTGAGTTCCAGTTGGCCAAGGGCACCCCCCAGAGCCTACAGCCAAGTTCAAAGAGACCACCTTTACTCCCAGAAACAGCTAGGACAGTGACTTCACTGTTGCAACTATCCACCACAAGCAAAGACCCTTGGGAGATAACATAGTGAGAAGCTTAGATCAGGAAGCTAGAATCCCACTCAGACTCAGCTATTTGACAGTCACTCTCAGTAAAAGCTTGGTGTGGTTAACACTTATGACCTACTATATACCACCAGCAGGGGAGAATCACACTGCATCTTTCAAGGACTTTTACGTTGCACATTCTGGCCACTTTTCACCTAAACAGTCCCTCTCTCAAAGACACACCTGAAATCACACAACTACACTAGATTCTTCTAATCTTGTGTTTGCAGAGAATCTGACTCTGTAACAGTTATGTCTGCGAGGGAGACAGAGATGAGAGAAAACCTACCTAGCTAGCACTTTGGCTGGCCAAATCGCAATGTGTTGTGTTTGAGCGCAGCTGTTAGCATCATGAAAATTATGTCACCAGATTATGCTCAAAGCAGTGAGACCTGAGGGCTGCTACCTATACAAGCCAACTGGTCATAGCCTACATAGGGCAGTTCTACCTGGTTATGCATGTCCGCGGTTATTCTTGTTATGAGTGTCCATACGCTCTTAGAGTGAAAAGAGTGCTTGCTTGAGCCGTCTATAGTGATCAGTAGTCCACACCAGTATGCTAGAAATGTCTGACACACTGAAGGAACAAGTTCAGCCCGCTATTCCTAGACATTGGACACACATACGTATACATACAGACTTGTTATACACATGTCGGTGTATAGTAAGAGACTGATGTAGTTTGGGGGGGAGGAGGAGGGGAGGAGAGTGTTAGAAACAAGGAAGTTGTCATAAGATAGCTTTGTGAATTAGGCCACCTTAGGTACCTACGATCATCACCTTTGTGAGTCACATTAATACAAAGCCCTATGTAAATGGACAACCCTTGAAACACATTTTGTCAAAGGGTCATGCAGTACATGCAAACCTCTATACACTAAGCAAAGAATGACAATACATGGACATGGACATGGACAAGTAATTTCTACTCATAATCCACAGCCACTTCCTCTGTTCTCTTGTAGCAGGAAATGGCTATGAATTACCATCCCCTGCCACAGCCCACTCCAGGTAAATTATAACCACTCAGCAGTGTATAAACAAAACACGCAATGAGCTGAAAATCCCGGCCAAGTGTTGCCAGGAAAACAATAATGGCCAGCATATGTTGGCATGTGGTCGCAGGTCGCTGCCTATAAATGGAAAAGATGGAGTTTCAGTCTCTGAAATAGAGTTAGGAAGCAAGTAGGTTTGGTCAATTTCGGGACCACCCAGGCAGAAGTATGTATGTAATGTTGTACTAGTACTGGTACATGTGCTTCCACTGTACCATTGTGTTAGCTACACTTGTCCTTTTGTTCAAAATAGCACATACCAGGTTCTTTGGATACGTGAACAGCATATTTAACCACAGATACTATGTTCCGTGAGGTATAGTATCTATGATTTAACAAGGCAGAGTTTTGGTTATATACTCTAAGGCACAAACTAGATCTCGGTGCCATGATGACAGTGATTTTTCAAAGAAACAACAATTAACAAAGAGATTAGGAGAATACGATATACATGAGTAAGAGAGATAATGGTAGTGCAGTAAGAGGTCTTGAATTCAGGGCACTAGAGTCTACTACACCAGTTCGTTCCTTGCCTAGAGAATCATCATCATCTTCAGCTATATCACCACCCTCTTTCATTTTATGGTCTTCTTCATCTTCCTTCTTTTCTTCTTCAACTTTCAAGGGGTCAGGGCAATGTTGGGGCATTTCGAGATTGCACAGCTCGGTAGAGAGAAACAAGGAGTGGTCGTAGTTTGAACAGCAGCCCACGGCCTCCACTGCATCCACTGTAGCGTCCGTACACTTTTCAGAGCATTCGAGAGCACTGCCGTCCACTGGGCAAGCAGAGTAGAACGTGATCCAGTTGTAAGAGTTGGAAACATTGTTGCAGCGAACCCCACTTGGTGATTTAGCACAGTATGACAGGAGCGACCCCGCGACTATATCATCCTTGCAATCATCTCTAAAGAACTCGATCACTCTTCCTATGCACTCTGTTGTACACACGTCCTCGAGTGCTTCCTCCTCCATTTCGGGCGAGATAGATGCATCGTCCAACATAGCAAAAGCGTTGCTGCAGTCTTCACCGAACGGACTGGCAATGTCTGGGAGAGGCAGGAAGTAGCAGAGTGTCTCGGTGCCGTTGCCCTGCTCTGGAGGGAGACCGGAGGAGAAGGAGAGATCTCTCTCGTGAGGAGTGGACCTGGGGAATTTTTTGTGGGGTCTGTGAGAAAACGGAGATGCTTGCCAGGACCCAGTAGTAGAGGTGAGCAGTAGCAGTAATGGGAGATAGTAGAACTTCATTGCAGTAGAATTCAGATCTCCTCCTTGTTCAAAGTTGAGCAGTGTTTTGCAGGAAGCCCTAAGTTTGTGCAGCCGACGTCCCTTTGTTGCAGTCTCTTTGGCAGCAGTCCCTTTAATTCACATGAGCAAAGCACAGTACAGAGGCAGCTGGTTCACAGTACTTCTACTGGCCTACAGTATACAGCTAGCATGATATCAGGACAGGGCAAGCCCACTTTGAAACCCTGCACCAGCTGAGACTTCCGCAGCTATAGCGCAGCCTTTTATAATCTGGCCTGGACAGGAAGTATTTAGTATTGAATTACCTGCGCAGCCCACACAGCCATTAGCAGTTTCCTTTAGCACTATACTCTTTCAAAGGCACCGGGAAGACACTACACAATGCGCTCTGTGTCAACACATCAAGGAAAAACAAATTTCTACTCCCACTAAGGGCTATATAGTAAGCCAATGATGAATGAACTTGAGTGTGTGAGAGCCAAAATGGGGCATTGATGTAGCCCAAAGTCACTATTAGCAACTGGAGGTGTATAGAACACAAAAGTATTGTGGAATATGAACTAGATCTTTCCCACTAAAGATCATCAAAGCATTATACAAGACTGATATGGCTCTGAATATATATAAATATAACAGAGCACTAACTGACGAATGCAGGAGGACACATTGCTGTCATGGCAGAGGTCTGCTCGTATTCCGTACAGAAAACTGACACTCGCCACACACACTACACGAATTCAAACGGCCTTTGAAATGTGCATTAGTAAAAGAGGTTCACATGACTTACATACAATCGAAGTACAGTAGCATGATACGTATCTGCAGCAGCATACAGTGTCAATCTTTTACTCAGTTTTGTTTGGGTAATAAATATGTGTGCTCCAGTGACAAAGACACAACTTTAGCAGTTTGAAAGCACGACTTATGCAACACCAGAGACTGTGTGTAACAAAGTACACAGAGACATCTTGAAGGGAGGGCTGGATCAAAGTGAGCAGCAGACAAATGAAATAGAGAGGCTAGATCTCTCCCTTTGTGAGGTGGCTAGGTCCATCCATGATTATGTTCAGGCTACCCATGATTCTATTTAGCCACACTTTGAACTGGACCAGTGTGCTATATTCATAGTCCGCCAGTGATAACAGCTTTGATATGGCACATTTTGGGACACAAGCATCTTTGTTCTGGCATTTAGATGGTGCTATAACCTCGCCCACTGCATGACGCAAACCAACCCTGCACAAAGTTTGTTGATCCACTTCTCTAATGTATTAAGACAATACGAAGACGGACCTTCAAACAGACACATTTCATAGAGTGCCTCTGGACCGACGTGTATCGGTACTCACCCTACAGAGGAAGTCGATGAGCATGGCTGAGAGCTGGGGGTGCTGCCTCAGAGAGTTGGTCATCAGTAGAATCCCTGGCTCTGCAATACAAGGACACACGTACAAGGAATTTGAACATTATTATTGCAAAACCTTGGGTTTTATCATGTATAGTGGGGTATAGTGAAGTAATGCACTGGAGGAATGTGCACGTGTCCATTTGTTAGCCTCTCTCATAAGTGTTTTTGTCAAACTTCCATTTTTGGAGCCAACTATAGCACACCGATACATTACCAAAACACGGCACTGTTGTGATTATGATTTAGCTATCAGATGTCGTAAACACAAGAAGCTGTGAAATAATAGTTTGTGATTGCGCAAGCTAGAAAACGCAGTATTGCGTCTGTAGTGTGTAAATATAATAACACGGTTCATGGAAAATCAGTTTGGCAGGTATCCTTAGCTGGCACACACATAGCGAACAGTTTCAAACCCACCTTCAACTTCTGGAAGCATGGCTAATATTTTGTGAGACTTGTGCATGTGGAGATGCAGATGTACTGGGCATCTTTACACTATGGGCTGGAGCACCTGTACTCTTACAAGAAGCTTGTTTGCAAGCTGCTGTGGTCTCAATCCTTAGCAAACCTCCCTATGTAGATGAGAAGCACTCCTAGGACTGTGCCACCCACACTAAGAGGGAGTCTTGAATAGAGGCAGAATGGTAGCCACAAGGCAATGTGATCAGATCCAAGCCAATTTGTTATGCTCACAACATCAAAGGGAGGCCCTTGCACTTTGCCTGGCCCACTCTAAAGTACATACACTACAGCCGTTGATGCAATAATTTGTGGAGCTTACAGAAAAGCTTACAAAAATGTAGGATGGGGGAATGGTACTATTCAACATTATGCAGCACAAGAGGTGGACTGACCAATGTTCATGATGTTGTCCAGCTCTGGATTGTAGGCCAGCCAGTCATAGAACAGGGCCAGCTTGGCATTTGCCAGCACTGCATGTTTCCCCTGTATGTGAGTGTGTGTGTGGAAGGAGCTGACTTAGTGCCTAGCTCAAAGACCCTCTCTTTTTGACCAGCACATGCACGAAGTCACGTTACTGTGGCGTCAGTCTATGCATACATGGACCAGTGTCAGGGTGTGTGCGGGCCAGACTAGAGCTGACCTGGCAGAGAGAGAGGAGCCAGCCAATGAAGGCCCAGCGAGGGACAATGTCGGACTGGAGTATCTCATTGGGAGGATGGATGACGCAGCACACAAACCTCACCAGCTCGGGGACAATGAGCAGACTCTCCGGGGTGGACAGGTACTGTGGGCAGGAGATATGGAGGAGAGGAGAGAGAGGAGGTGAAGAATCACCGTGCTTGTAATCCTAGCTTTCGAGTTACTGAAAGTTCATTTTTCTCCTGTGACGTACTAGTAGAATGCACCATAATATTATTTTGTAGCCTCGCGAGGCAAACAGTTAAATTTTTCGTGTGTTTTCATGCATATAGAATCACGTATAACATTATGGTGCAGAGTGGCAGCGCAGGTCACAGCATAAAAACATAATTATAATATAGAAAAATCATGCATTCATATGACTACGTGTGCTTGCTTCGCTCGCCAATAACAGTATGCAATCAAATCGAGCTACGTCCCAATCGCACCTGAATACGATATATTTAATGATGGGCTTGCCTCAATAACTTTAGAATGGTGTTCTGATCTTGAGAGGCAGAGGTACAATTACACAGTATATATAGCCATCAGTGGCACTGAAATCGGACCCTCACCTTCTTCTGAAACCACTCCTGGTAACACTTATGCTGGCCAAATTTCACCTATGTTTAAAAAATACAAATACTTCATACATACAAGCAACAATGGCAATAGAGTGTGAAACCACCTTGGAGAGGAGGAAGTTGAGTTTGATCTCAACCTCAGGCAACACGCGGCCTGCTATGAACCTCCGAGACGTTCTCCTGGACAACACCTGGTGGACATCTTGTACGATGGAGGAGGGAGGGAGGGAGGGAGGGAGGAGGGGATGTGTGTGTGTGTGGAGAAAAGGTGGGGGGAGGGAAAGAGAAGAGAGTTAATTGTCAAGCCAACTGAGCCTATAGCTACTGAATTGCACAAATTTTCTACTTGACACTCCCACCAAATGCACTTTTATAGCTGAACTTTTGCACCAATGTTCACTCGCCAATGATGTCATTTACTGTATTAGCTCATACATAACATTGCATCACACATGTGTGAGAGGTGTGGCACACACCAGTGAGCTGGGGACTAAGGGTCTGTGGTTGCTGGAGCAGGTCTCTCCAGAACTCTGTAAACTCTGGGATCCTGCGAGGAAAAGCACAGTACTGACTCTCTACACTCATTCGACAGGCATGGGGCACCGGTACAGTAAGTGCAGTATATTAGAGAGTCGGTAGACTCTCTATATAGGGATGACACGGGTGAAATCTCACGTGATCCGCGTACAAAACGACTAAAAACTCGGTGAGAATCACTTCCTAGGCCTTCAAAACATACTAGCAATAGTCTACGGGCCCATATCTACCTATAGATGTCCCCCAAGAGCTCATACGCACCTTCAGTCGTCCACGCGAGAATTCGCTCATACGCGATTTCACGATTTTCGTGTCATCATATTCTTCATCTTCTTCTTCTTCTTCTTCTTCTTTAAACCCGCTATCTCCTTACCAGTACCAGTTCAAGCACTGATTTTTTCACTGAAGGTCTCCAATTTCGCCGGAGGTGTGCACGGACATCAAGCGATCGTTTCTTTCTTGTCGCTAGTCACTACGGTAGATCATGGAGCTCTTCCCTGGTCGACCTGAACAACGCCATTTGCTGCTTACTCAGCATCAGTGATCCGCGCGCATGCGCCAGGCAGGGGCGTTGTCCAATGTGCTTGCGAACGTATTCTACCGGGCGAGTTGGCAGACCTGCAGAGGAACTATCAGCCTCCAGTACCTTCTGTAAGTAAGTGTGCACATTTCCAACTGGCTATCTTGCTGTTGATATGCACGAAGAGCAACTTGCCAGAGTCTGCGCGGTGTTACGCGAGCCTTGCGGGGCACTCAGTCAAATGGCCTTCATTGTTTGTCCCCCCCAGGTTGTAGCCTGATTACCAAAGCCTACCAATGAAACCACAACCATGTGCAATAATCTAATTACATCCTTGTTGAAGACAATACATGGTATCTAGCAGTCCATTAGCTACAACATAGCCATGAACATCAGAGTGACTGTAACAATAAATGCAGTGTTGCCAGAAGCTGTTAAAAATAGTGGAAAAATCATTTCTTCAAAATGAAAGGGGGATATAGGGATGGCTTGAAGCACCAAAAAGGAAGAAACAAGGGGTCATTACACAGCAAAGTTGCACAAAGCTACATGACACCATCCCTATATCTTTGTTTTATTGTTTATAAGCAAAGTTTAATATCAAACAATATCAAACAAAGATATAGGGATGGTGTCATGTAGCTTTGTGCAACTTTGCTGTGTAATGACCCCTTGTTTCTTCCTTTTTGGTGCTTCAAGCCATCCCTATATCCCCCTTTCATTTTGAAGAAATGATTTTTCCACTTGTATATATATACGTACCTTGCCACTCCCTGCAGTAGTCTCAGAAGGTCTCTGCCAATAGGTTGCATATCTGTGAGCTGCTTGTATGTATGTATGTATGTATGTATGTATGTGTGTATGTATGTATGTATGTATGTATGTATGTGTGTATGTATGTATGTATGTATGTATGTACAAAGTCAGCTCTCAGTACTTGCTGCAAGTGTATACATACGTACATAATTTATGCAACAATCTAAGATCACGAGAAATGCTCAATCGGTGATCAAGCGGGATGATCGAGCTAACCAAGTGGTCTGAAGTGCAGACTACTACTATAGTCACTAGTGAATGAATTGACACAAAAACAGTCAATTGCAAGATGCCAAATGCCTACTAATGGCTTTACACGGAAACCTCTGAATAAGGGACACCTTGGGGACATGGAAAGTGTCAAGGCATCCTTTCTTGAGATGTAACTATATTAGTATGGGGCAGAGTCAAGTGTCCTTTATACAGCGGTGTCCTTTATGCTTTCAGAGGTTTAACTGTAGCTTGTTTCTACAGGTAGCCTTAAAAGCACAAAAGATGTGCATATGCCTTGCCTTGGCCCTGAGCATGGAGACACAGAAGTTGGTCTCCTGTTGCCTGAGAGATGCCAGACTCTGTGCAGAGTGTGAGGGGAGGATGGAGAGGTAGGTGAACACTGCACTGTCTACCAGAGCTGGGAGTCCCTCCAGCCACTCTCTAATTGGGAATAGGAGGGGGAGAGATGGATGGAGGCAGAGTGAAAGAGGAAGGGGTGAATGAGGGAGAAGAGAAGGGTAAACAGAGGAAGAGTAAAATGAAAGAGGAAAGAGTGTACATACTCATAACTGAATGAGAACGTTCCATGTGTAAGCAAACCCCTTTTCCCTCTCCAAGTGCTATATACATTCATACTGCATGCAGATAACGTAGCTACTGGAACGAAAGCAAACAAGTCATAGACTGCTCGCTCCATAGAGTGTGTATTGCGAAGCCGGCTGTGTTCCCTAACAAATTGTTAACCAGTACATATCGCAGCATTGTTACAGTATAACACACCAACTCGATACTCACTGATGGTCTAGCAGAATGTTCAGTAGAGACTCTGCAACGTAGACCCAGGCATCACCAGTGCCAATATTCCCAGCTAATGAGAGGGGTTTGGGGTTGAGTAGTGACACACAACACAGAGGGGGAAGATACGAGAATATTGCTTAATACGTCATGTTGCAAAACACTTTCCTTCTTCCAGCAATTCTAATGTAGCTGAGCTATAATTCTAGGGAAGATTTGTAGGCTGAATTTAATAGGAGGAGAGAAAGGTGGGGAGGGGGGAAGTGAGAAGAGTGAGGCAAGGAAATGAGAGGCAGGGGGGAAGAGGAGGGACGGCAGAAGAGATGGAGAATGCTAGGAACGAAAGAGCAAAGTGAGAAAGATGGGAGAAAGAAAAAACGGTCATAGGAAAGATTAGTAGAGGGACAGGGGGTGGCAAAAAGAGGAGAGGAGAGGAGGGAGACAGAACTGTGAAGAGAGAGAGAGAGAGAGAGGGATGGGAGAGAGGTGGTCTCACCAGGAAGATGTTTGAGGAGGGCAAAACAGACTCTATCAGCTCCAGCCACTCCACTGCCTACCATCTCTCTCGTCAGCCACAGCAACTAATATATAATTATACATCGAAATTAGGAGGAATGAAGAATGAGTGAAGAGAAACGGCATAGAAATAGGGGGGACCCAAGATACCATGTAGTTTATGAAACTCATCCGTACTTGTACTTAGGACTAAAATTCTCGATCGCAATTTCTAAACACTCAATTCTCAATCGTCATAACTATTGGCCTTTTTCACACTTCCCTTATGATTCATGTACATAATTATTATACAGCTGTACATATATGTACCTGTAATCGAGTGGTATCCTGGAGTTTGGTCATCTTCTCCATGACAATTCGCTCACACATGTTCACTAACTGAGCCATGCTGTCCCGAGTTATCAGGAGTAGTGTGTGGTATGACTGGAGGGGGAAGAGTCGTTGATTAAGGGGGCATTGCGAGTTGTAGGGGAAATTATGGTCAGCATAGATCAGAGCCTTTTAAAAGTCTCATGGACAAATCGCGCAATTCAGACTACTAAGTGGGCTCACTTCACTCCCCAATATGCCATAGACCACATGCCCCGAGCAAAAGGCTTTTAAACTTCTTTGATCACGTTCAATGTGAGAAACTAGTGGCTTTACACCATAAACTCTTTACTACATATCTTACAACTACAATACAGTGGAACCTCATTAATACGAACGCTGTTAAAGCGAAATACCTGCTTAATACGAACCACTTTGAAATCCCCAGGCATTATAACACTAATACAACTAGCTACTGTTATAGTGAAATTCCTTTTAATATTAACATTTTTGATGGTCCCCTGGAGTTCATATTAACGAGGTTCGACTGTACTTTCGTAACACCCGTTGTGGATTTCATTCAACCTCAGGGGCATGTATTAATAGATACATCCTCACCTTGCTGGCAGAGTTTGGGTCAGTCAGAATGGAGTAGAGGAGGGCCAGTGTGATCTCCTCATGCTGCTGAGGACTGTGACTCACCTGCACACACAACAAAACATCCCCCGTATCATCAGCAGGGAAAGAAAGAAGACCCGTTTCAGCCCGACTCTAGAGTCTGGCTTGTGAAGATAGTTGCAGGATACTTTACCTTCTCGCTGAGCTGATTGTACACCTCCTTCTCTCTGAGATTGTTGGTTATACTGCCCAGCGTTCTGTGACACTTCTCCAGCCACTGTAGTGTCCATATGTATGTACACGAAACTAAGTACTGACCCCCCACTATACAATCAAGTATAAAACACCATTATGTGGTCCATCACAACATTGAAGGAAGACTGGAAGAGTTTTGAGCTCTGAATATGTGATGAGAATGCACCCTCCTTGTATTATCCTGGAGTCAAGTCAATTAAAAGGGGGCGGAGTCACATGTCCAAGCCATGCCCACACTTCTACTACTTCGTCTCCCTTTCCTAGCCGATTCCGAGGAACCGATTACCGACGATAATCCGATGGACACACTAACATCACGACCCACGAAGTCTATGCATGGTTTTTCTAATAGATGCGCACTCAACGTCACCTCCTCAGTTTCGTCCTTGCTCTCTAGCTGCCCGTAGCTGAACAGACATGCGGTGGTCCCCCTCCTAGTCTCGCTCATGGCCTGCCGTATCGGTATAAGTATATACGCAGTTTCAGGGTTTACGGACTGGAGTGCACACCATGTACCACCACGACACACGTCGTACTGCACTGCGGATCGATTTATGCGCATGCGCATTAATACCCACGTATTATGATAGCGAGGCGGGGGTCCTAACGAACGACGCTGTCTTGGCTGCAGAGTCTCTGCTGCGCTAGTATTTACCGTTTCTGGACTTTTGCAGTTACACACTTTTGGATTTTGTATTGCGGAAACACAGGGTGAGTCTCAGTTAGAATACGTACAATGAGTTGTAGGTAATTGAATGTGTGAGGCTGTCCTCGCAACTAGCTAGCTACGCACTTCGAAACACTCTCTTGTGGAATACAACACGGTCCCGAGGCTAGCTATTACGTCAGGGAGTAGAATTCGTAAGGATCTTTTCATTAGTTCCAGGGTGCAGTTTTGATACCGGGCCCGGGGCTTTCTGACTAAATATACATAGCTAGTATGTGCGGTGCATTTTAGTAATGAATAACAGATCCGTTCAGAAAATATTTTAGCTCTATAAGAGTCTGATAATAGTGTGTATTATTTGTGTGCTTGCAGCATGCAAGGGTGTAGGAGGAACTGATGTGATTGGGAAAGTATTCTTGGCAAATACGCTGGTAGCTACAATTGCATTCCACCAACCCTTGCCTGCTTTTTGGCCCCAACTACCAACAAAAACTTGGCAGTACTACAGGTGGTATGGCAGCTTGTGACCCTCTCTCTCCTACTCTCTCTTGGTGACTCAATCTCTATTTCACTAACTGTTCCGATACTTGGCTAAGGGACTGGCTCTAATTCACAGTCTGGGGAACTGAAACAATTTTGGCATCTCTGCTCCTCTCGACCACTTGAGACACAGCCACAAATTTGATAGACACATACCTTAGCTATTGCGTGCACCAGTCTAGAGGAACGTAGATTAAAAATTAGAGCTCAGGGTGCAAATTCTTGTTGAATTCCAGCTGTAGCACAAACTCTGCTCTCAGTTTGTGATTACTTCAGGTGTGAGGTACAATGTCAGCATCCTTTAGGATTTGAAGTCACCCTGGGAACTTTCAAAGAAAACGCTCAGTTCTGCTAAATATATAGGCATTCTACTTTAGGCTAGCTACAAAAGACAACAGCAGGAATATTATGCTAGAAGGAATGCGACACGATTTTGGTAACCAACGGTTTTCAGTATAATCTCTGGGGTAACATGTCATGTTGTCCTTGAGACAAGCCTCCCTTGGCCTCCCTGTACCCTGCACCTCACCCTCCATTTGGGAAATAATGTGTGGTGCACTCAGTATTAATTATGTATGCAAACACAGAGCCACACGCGTGCCATTAGTTTGGTTAGTTTACACATGTGCCTCACGTTGAAAGTGGGTTGTAGCCAAAGTGAAGACAAACAGTTTTAGTAGGTGGATGCGTATATAGTATACATTTAGCTGTGTTACTGTTGTAATCAATATACGTATGTATATACTTATTTCCCCCTCAATCTCTTGTCTGTCTCTCTCTGCCCACCCTTCACAAATGCACACAGGACACACTCCAGTGAGTGAATGGACATACACGACTGTCAATGCTAACACATAGACTGTTATTCAGTAGCTGAAGCGGTGGTACTCTTCAGAACACTTGCTCTACAGCCCCTGACAGTGTATAGGCACAGCCATCCAGTTGTTGGACAAACTACTCTCTCACAGGGCACACACTCGTGTATATACTAGTGAATACTCCACATTAAGGCAGTGCCTGTCTTGAGTTTGTGTGTGTTCCAGCAAATATACCCCAGAGCTTATCACAAGAAGAACGGACAAAGACCAGTTGAAAGAGCAGCTAGTGAACTGCGATAGTAGCCAGTGATTGAATTGTTTCTTGAGTGGCTGATCAAGAGTCTTGAGGGAGGCTAGCAATTGTGTTTGGAGATCATATTTCAGCTGAGCAGCAGCAGATATTAGGTTTCTTTCAAAACCTGCACACTCCATTGAACAGATAGTGTGGCAGGAACACTCAACAAGATGGACAAGCACACTTCTGTCCACTGCATAGCCAGATGGCTAACACTGGCTCTGCTTCTCTCACCCCTGGCCTCCCAGGGAGATATCCTAGAAGAAGTGTGTCCCGCAGGCAGAGCTGTTATGTTTACAAATGCAACACAGGGAGTCAATCCGTCATATGATGGTGGTGCTATTGATCCCTGGGTCTCTCTGGCCAGGGACTTTGTCAATGCAGTCAAGAAAGAGAATCTTCCATACGGTACGTGACAGTTTGGCCGTACATATCTCGTCCTACTATACACTACACTCAGTGTGTGAATAGTACAGGAAACAAGTAGTTGTAGCATACTCCCAGTGTGGAGTGAATGTACTCGGTGCCTTTGGGAAAGAATTTATCCACAAACTTGTCCAGGTAGACCATGCATGCCTGGGCCTTTCATAGCATCTGTCAAAGAGCCACATACACTCTGAGAGAGCCTAGGTTGCAGGAAAACTAGCTGACTCATCAGAAGACTAAGCATTAAGAGTATCCCCCACGTTGCCTGTAGCAGCTACGGCATAACTTATGTGTAGTACGATAGATAGTCCTTTCACTTGGCAAATGACAGACAGATCAAATAACTAACTTTGCCATGTTTGCATGTTGTCTTTACTCCATGTTATAGGCACAGAGTGCCAGCTGATTAGTGTTACTCCATGGTCATCAGTAATCGGGCAAGCCTCGTTTAGCTTCTCCAAACAGGGAGAGCCCCTATTATCTGTATGACTAATGATGATCCAACGTTTAATACTCTCCCGAGTGACCTTTGGTTTGTGAAATACCTTGCAAGGAGGCTTTCCCTTCCTGAAACATATGTGTAAACCCTCAACTTTACCCTTGACTTTGCTCTACTCCCCTGTCTTTTTTGATTGCACTGTAGATGTGATAGAAGAGGCGGTGGAGGAAGGAGGGTTTGCCTGTGATGTAGGGACTAGACAAAAGGACATGTGTGTCAACCACACTTCTTCCTCCTTCCCTGTTGGCCAGACCTTCGCTGGGGTGAGCTCTCTCTCTCTCTCTCTCTCTCTCTCGATATGGACACAGGTGAAAAAAGTTTGAGGGCCCTGGTATGTGGGTGTACACATGGTGTGTGTTGTGTGTGCATTGTGAGGATAATTCTGTGTTTCCAATTCACCTACACAGTTGCCCAACCAACACTAATCAGCTGGCACTCTGTGCCTATATGTCATAGCCCAAATGGCATCAGTTTTCTGGCTTTAATGCACCATGCATGTTTGTGTTAATAAGCATCGGATTTCAAGAAGTATTCGTTGGTTATGCTCAGTTGAGCAACCCATGAGTAGAGCATTATTCTATGTCTAAGATCTAAGACCAATCAAAACAGCAAGGGATGAAATTTGACCAGTGTCCATACATTCTTGGTTGATGAAGGGTGGGGTTGAAGTAACACTCGAGCCAGGAGAGAACATTGGAGCCAAACTCAGGCATTGTGACTGGAAGTCTAGCACACTATGCACTGAGTTACATACACAACTACCAGACAAACGTTGGTCTTCCCCATTCCCTTCAAGTACTACTGCCCTTGATGTGTACATACTGCACAATACTTAGGTCTTTCCCACCACATATCTCATTATACTTTGCTGCTCAATTAACTCTGCACACACACAAACACACGCAGTTTCTGGACTGGTGGACACCCATACTGGCAGTTGCGTGTGTGGGCGTGGCAGTGGGTGTGGCTTTCCTGGTGGCGGGCTGTGTGGTGTGTGGGTGTCGATGCTGTGGTAACTGTGGAGGAGGCTACTCCATGAAACAGAGTCACGACAGAACCATGTTCTCCTGTACACTCCTTCTACTCCTCTTCACTCTGGCACTCCTGTAAGAGAACATGCATTTTTCAATGTATCTACATATACAGTGGAACCATATTAACCTGAAGTGGGACAATCAATAACTTCACTGTAACTGTAGCAAGTGTTTCAATGCCTGGGGTTTCAATAAGCCTTTTTTTGCTTTAACTGTAGTCGTTGTTAATGAGGTTCCACACTAGAGTATAGGACAATGATACAGAACCTGACTTGAGCAGAATTCACAGACAATAAAATGGCTTTATACTTAAGTTTAATGCAGTATAATATACCTTGAAAAACATCTTGAAGCATAAGAGACTATAACATAGGGCCCTGAATGAATAGAACGTCAGTCCCAACTTGTTCACTGACTGTTTTAGTCCAAGACTCGCCATTAGCAGCTTTCACCTGAACAACCAAACTTCAGTCAGGGTCAATCTACGTACACAGAGAAGCCCGGGACTTTGTTTACATACACATAAATTATGCACTTGTGTACACACATCAACCTCTATACTGTATCATTGTGTATGTGGACTAACTTTTGAGGCCTGAAGGTGATGGATGGTTTGTAGCCAATAGAGTCTCCCACACACCACACGTATATACATACACCACCACAGGGCAGGAGTGGTACTGACTCTGCACAGTAACCAACAGACCTTTGACAGTCTGGACTCCATACAAGACTCGGTCAACAGAGCTACTGACTATGGAGTCGAGTACGCCGAGCGTCTCATCAATGTACGTGCAGCTGTACACTGTAGTGTAGGTTTACACTGTATGTAGTGATGCTGTGTAAAGAGCTATATACATTGTGTAGGATTGAAATGGCCGTACTGCATTGATTCACAGAGAAGGTAGAAACTATAGCTGAACATTTTGTCAATATGTCGGCGGCTGACTTTCCCGTTTACATAAACACACCTGTTTGCATTCAAGTCACAAACTGCAATGAAACATACATAATTATATACAGTGGACCCCGCGTATTGTACGTAGCAGTGTTAATTTTCAAATGTTGTCATTATTCACAGGACGGTATTGCCCTGTTCTGTCTTGTGGTGGACATAGTTCGCCTCTCACTTGAACAACTGGATGGTTAGTATGTACACACATGTAGCTAGTGGATGGTTAGTATTATAATCACACACACACATGTATGGCTAGACCTAGTGATGTCAACAAGTGCAACACATCCCCTTCTAACAATTAGTTGAGTTAGGGGGCAGTTTCATGCTACAACTGAAGTTGTAATGAACACCTTCATGCGATCTGTCTAGGTACATATACCAAGTTTGTCCCACCCATGTTGGAACCTCTGTACATGTAGCAATAGTTATGATTCACAGGGCTATTATTAACCCTCAGTGATAGACGTACGTAAATGCTAGCGGCAAACTGTCAAGGCAGGCAATTCAGACAAATTTCCCAGAGAGACATAATTGTTTACAAAAAATGCCCTTGCCTGTGGAAATGTTTCAGTTTTTTTCCATCTAAAGTGGCATGCTACGTATGTTATAAGGGGAAACTCTCAAAGTCGTAATTATTAATTGATAGCATATAGTTTGTCTGTCCCTTGCAAGTACGTAGTTAATTTTTCCCGTTAATCCACAGACCTCGGATCAGCTCTGGGAGTTGTGTTGAGTGCCATAGCCGCCGGAGTGGAGACCTTTCTGCAACTGCTTGAGGCAAATGTTGATGGTGAGCTTCATGCCAGTGCTTATGCGTTTACATAACTCGTTATTTTAAGGTAATCCAGCAAAATAAGCTATCCATGCCAGCACTTAGAACTTAAAATCTCATAATACACAGCAGTCTACATTGATTAGGTGCTTACGTAATACTCAGAAACATTACATCCTATTGGATCTGAGCAGCTCTACTATTTGATCTCTTGCATCCATTCAAAAACTGTACTTAACCCAGAGTCATACACATTGTGTCAATTTGTGATATGGGCATGCCAACGTCAATGGTATGTTTTGTACACAGTGTCTCTGACAGTGAATGGAGGGTGTAGTTCAACCTGCATTCCTTCCTACATACCTTCTTTAGAGCACCTCTGTAATGGTTCTGACCCACGTGTATAGCTATGTACCAGCTAGGAGCTGTTTGTCTGACAAAGTGCCCCTGTCGTGATTGTACACAGCCTTACCTAGCCAGATATGGTTTGTAGGAGGAGGGTCCACCCACGTACATGTGTACACGTACTGTCAGGAACGTCCAGACTCTATACACGGCTGTTGGCACAATTTTCTTTGTAAAGTCCTGCTTAGTACACGCACCTATACATGCAGGCAGACTTGCAGTAGAATCCTTACATTAGCCTTCAAACTGGATAGCCGAATTTGAAAAGCTACAGGTTAGTGAAGCTTTCTCATAATTACTGATCATGTGAGCGAGGGGCAACAATGTCTACAGCTTATGTATACATACATAGGAAAGTGTGGTTTGCCAAATAGTGCTTACTCCAGGTTTACATACAGGCTAGCAATGAATCACATTCATACGTAGCTACGTAGTTTATTCTAGTTAGAGATAGTATTTAGTAGTTGCCTTTGCTCTGTGTTTAAGTATTGTATGACTTTGGGCCCTGCCCTCTGAGCTACTTTGCTCAATGCGTAAAGCACACTATATACATAGAGAACAGACTGCGTCGTGGGTACATTTCCCAGTGTTTTAAAGTTTTCGTGAGCGTCATTTGTTTGATATCCACTATTGCCACATAATTCTTGACTCCCCAATCCACTACTGCAGCTATTGAGGCCAGTGGAGGTGTTCTGGTTAGGATTGTGTCTTCCAGCACTCTGCTGGACTCCAGACAACGAGCGCTCCATGCAGCTCTCGAGGATGTAGCTGACCTTGCGAACTCTGTGCTGGTTGAGTGTGAGGGGACTCCGGGTGCTGATTGCGAGGGGCTACCCCATGGAAGTATATTTGTCAGCACCGCCAACTACTCACTGGTGAGCTTATACACCAAGAAAAACTATATTAATGGTGACACTAAGGAGTGAACTGTATTATAGGGAGGGTGTCCTCTCTTAGGAAGTTAAAAATGTACTAGAATAACACGTTTGGGCGCGCAAAGTGTGTCCTTTATTGACCCCCTATTGTGTGGAGTGTCCTTTTAACTGATGTTCTAAAGGCAGAGTACACACCCGTTATAGTCATCTCCATATCTAATACACATAATTATATACATTCATGAAGGTGGAGGACATGACTGGTGTAAGTTCCATGGTCAACCAGACATTAGATGAGGTGGACTTTCGCCAAGAGGTCAGCCAGGTGAGTCGATCCCTACGGGATTTCCTTCATTACTTGCAGTGTTGCCAATTGATGTTTGTTGTTTTTGTGATGGGTGTTGCCTTTTCAATTCCCACTTCAACTTTGTGAAAGTAGCAGAAAAAACTGTTTCTGTTTTTTTTTACTTCTCAATTGTGTACTTAACACTGCCAAATGTATGTAGTCTGTGAGCTCATAATAATTATCAATGAGTTCTTCTTTCCATTATACAGGGTCGCAGTAATTTCAGTGAAAACATGCAAATGATACAGCAGAATATCACAATGCATATGAATCAATCAGGTTGGCATTACATAGAGTGAACGATGCAATGTTATATTATAGTGTTAGCTGTTGGCATGATGTCATGCAATGTTAGTGTTAGCTGTTGGCATGATGTCATGCAATGTTAGTGTTAGCTGTTGGCATGATGTGATGCAGAGATGGAGCTGGAGAGATTGAATGAGACAGTAATGGAGCAGAGAGACAACATCACCAACTCTACAAGAGAGGTAACACCTCTATTTTTCATTACATACTAAACAGAAAAGGGCAGCTTTACTGGGTATAGGCCTTGAATATTTCCCCCACAAGCCACGTATAATATACCTGATACATATGACTTCTGTGACTACGTACATTATGTATGTGACTAGTTCAGAGTCTCAATGATGAAAGTCACTGATGCAGGTAATCCGTCGTGATGTGGATGAGTGCTCAGACTATAGTTCCCTCCTGGGAGGAGAAGAGGGGGGAGGGGCTGTGGACCTCAATGCCGGCTACATACAACACTGCATCGTGGACCAAGGCTTTGAGAAAATCCACGAATACGACCTCTACAGGTAGGTGCACCTGCAGTCATTCAGAAACAGTCTATGGGAAGCTCCTTCAATTAGGAACAAAATTGGAGGACAGAAATAGTTGTGTGTGCCATTTTATACTTATCTCTACAGTTACACATAGCATGTGTGTTTGTTGTGGAAATGCCTGGCTCTTCCTGAAAAACATCATGTGGCACACTTTATAAAATTAAGGAGGTGTGGTGAACAACCAACGTTATATTCCTGGATACACACACACATACTCTCTCAGGTATTCATTTGGGGTGGGTGTGGCCTGTCTGTCCCTGGTGGTGGTGATTCTGGTGCTGGTGGGGATGGTGCTGGGCGTGGTCGGATGGAGACCAAAGAAACAGCCATTTGACAGGACCCGAGTGTCACACTGCGGGGGGAGGTTCCTCCTCGTGTAAGTATAATGACTTTAGCAGCAAATTATGCCTGAGGGTATGTATGTAGCACTCTTCTCACGTCACCCCTGTTTTGTCTCTCCTGAGAATGCAACTTTCGACCACTGTACTTGATGTTTAGCCTACTGATGTTTGTGCATGTGCATTGTCATGGTGCAATGGTCAATGGAAAACCAGTTGGGCTGAATGGCCTTCAGGCACCCAGTTTCTTTATTATTTCCATGCTAATCTGATTTTAGGCCAACCCCAGTTACTGCTACATATTAATTGCAACGATGCTCAATTTCTCTTACAGGGCAGTGGGAGTGGCCTTTGTGTTTGGTTGCCTAGTGATGATAATGGCTGCCTTTGGCTTCTTCTTTGGTTCCAATGCTCAGAAGGTGTGCCAGTCTCTGGAAGGTCCTGACTACGAGGGATTTGAAAATGTGAGCCTCAGCTAGAGCCACATACAGCTGCTCACAAACCAATACAACACAACCTGCTCATTATGATTTGGATGGGGCACATCTCTAAATGTGTATGATCCCAGTATACCACTGTGGCCAATTTTAATTCTGTTGCTACAGTATTATGTACAGCAGGTGATCGGTGTTACTAAAGACACTTGTCCATAAACTCGATGGACTTTTGTCAGCTTCTCAGTTTGCCATGGTTTTCATTTCCCTCTCACTGATGTAGACTTTGGACAATGAAGAGCTGTGGGGAGGTTCTCTGCTAGGAAAGGTTGTATTTGACGATCCTCGGAAGACTCTATCATTCTCTCAGCTTCTCAGGTGAGCCTACATGTCAGCGGGACAGCAACACTCTTTAGTTAGGGACGTAACCTATGCAGCTCAGGTTCCAGTAATGTTAGATACGTAGCTATGCAGATACAAAGACAGTTACATGTACATATGACTGCAGAATGAGTAAAGTAGCATACCCTTAAAATGCTGCATCCAATAAACTAGGTAGCTATAATATTATGGTCATGCACACACAAAGACAGTTGCGTGTGTGAGTGCAGTGTCTGGTTGTCTGCAGGAACTGTGAAGCAGACTATGCTCTCTATCGAGCCATGAATCTCAGCTTCTTATTCAACATCAGGAACGACATCATCAACTTCACAGAGGTATGCGTAATAGCGAGGGGCCCCTGGTAATAATGGGAACCAATTATAGCAGGTTGTTTCAGTCCCTCCGACTAAACTACGCCAGACACAAAATTACGTATTCTCTGTAAAATTTTCAGTGCTGTTTACTTTTGGAGTGACTTCTGTCTACATACTTCACTGTATATACAATACGATAGAGTAAAGTTAGAGGCTCTGTAGTTGTTTAGCGTGTGGTCAACGGCAGAATGCCACGGGACATACAACTAGCAAGTCTAAGCTGTAATGTAGTGCTCAACACCAGGGGAAGACCGTAAGCCTGCGTAGATGCCTGTAGTGATGTGCAAAGTGTCACGGTGTGTGTGGTGTATTACCAAGGTTACAGAGAACCTGAGCGAGGAGATCCTGGGAGCAGCACAGAGTGTCCAGCTCTCATCTGACAGCTTCTTCTCCTCCGAGGGTCTGCAGGGACTCCGTGAACTCAACCTTCTCTTCTCAAACATCAACATACAACGTACTACTTACGTAATATTATACACAGCTACATTGTGCGGCCTGAAGACACTATCACACGTGCATGCAGGATATAGACTGACAATGCCTTTTAAAGTCATTGGTACACAGACATTTTGCAATAAGAGTTTCCTCGTATTTCCAGCATTCTCGTCATACTTGTTTAAGAAGGAGGCTTTGCTACGTAGACGGCTGGTCACCATTCAGTGTGCTTTGCCTGATGGCTAGTGTTTTGGTCCCTTATGTACTTGTACAAAAGATGCAAAATATCACTGCTGATTCCTCGCCATCCTCCTCCTCTCTCTTTCAGCATTACAGGATGAGTTGAATAGCTCTGTCCCCACTCTGGGGTTCAGTCCTGATGACGTGGTTCACAATCTGACCGTCTACAAGGACACCACGGCCAACAGCACCACAAGGGACCAAGTGGATATGCTGGTCTCGCAAATTGAGGGTGTCTCAGACGTGGCTCGTGAAATTGATACAATTGCTGTAAGTCCTTAGCTTCATATATAGCTCAATACTTCATGATGCTAGGTATATATAGTAACTGCAGAGCCCTAACTAATAATGGCAATGCAGTCACAAGTTCTAGTAGGATAATAAGTAGTTATAGAAGTGATAGATAACAAGCCCACTGTGTCAGCTCATAAAGCTGCTTTTGTGTATGTGTTTTTTGGGGTTACGATACCAAATACTCTCTGTAGGCATCGCTACTGCACGATGTCATTATTCAGCACAGAGCTATGGTAAGTAAGAACCACTTTAATGCGATGTGTGTGCCATATGTTTCGTTTCACCATATTGTACTGTACATTCACAGACTACTACGTCAGCCCTGGTGGAGCAGTCTACTGACCTCATTGATTACATCACTGGAGATGGCCTGGCTCAACTACTCAAAAAAGTCAGTCCTTTTTCCATGTCTTTTCTCTTATGTGACACAACATGGAGCACTAATGTTTGGTTTATGTGTGTGTGTGTGTGTGTGTGTGTGTGGTTCAACCTTGCTTTTCTTTTCCTTCACAGACCAGCACAGAGACTTTCATCACCATAGCTGGTTATATTGATGACTTCATTGAGGACCTGGCTAATGGGGTGAGGCACACTTGCTGATACCTAGCTTTTGTCACTAATAAACTTTTTGTATGTTTTCACAGTCTCTCTATAACTAAGAACCCGCTGTAAAATAGTATTCTGTTTCATGTGTGGCACAAATTATAAGGAAGACTGTTATCCACACAGCTGAACAGCAGTATTGGACTGTGTCGACCTCTCTGGGGCATCTATACAGATCTCTACATCTCAGTGTGCTACGAAGCAATAGACGGACTGGTGAGCCTACTATTACAGCCATATATACATAAATACAGCCTATAATGGTACAGCCTGTGATCCAGAATCATTTTCCTTTTCATTAAGAGACTATGTTTAAGAGTAAACCTTTAAAATGTAGAGGTCACAATGTCCTTAATCTGGAACTGAACTGAGTTTCTTTTCCGGTGGCTCGTGCTATAATTATTATGATTTTCACAGTTTAATCTCTGATTGTCTGCTCACAGAGTGGGTTCTGGTGGTCAGTGGGTTTCTGCGGAGGCATGTTCATCCCCATCATCGTCCTCTCTGTGGTTCTCTCCACGTGCTACATGAAACAGCAGAACAACACAGCAGCCTATTTCATGGACGACCCCTATGCTGATTACCTCATGGACGACTCGTATGTTGCACATGCATACAATTAGTATGTATATATCTTCCCACAAATTTTACCTGCTCTATACAATTAGTGTTTGTATTTCCACTGATAAATTCGAGCCCAATTATATAGCTCTATTGTTAGTACTTACACAGAAGAAATGAGGAAGACCAGCCATTGTCTTTGGGGTTGTAGCCTAGTGTTTTCCTTATTATAGCTACTTTGATCACCCTGAGTAAAGGTGTTACTCTGATCTTTGTCCTATGTGGTAAATGAAAGCAGTAGTAAATAAGATATGGGAGCTTTTTCTTTTCTAAAAGCTCTAATCATTGCAATAATGCGTTTTTTATCTTTCTCTTCTGTGCAGATCAAAGCGTAACTCTGCAGTGAGTGTCAAGGACAATAACTTTTACCCTCACACAGAAGATCAGGTCTAGGATTATAGCCCGTCACTCAGCTTCTCTCTCTTCTCATCTTTTATTTATAGTCATTTTTCTCACAGATTATGTACATAATATTATGTCAGTTGCATACCATTTCTCAGTCAATCTGCAGCATTTTAGTCCACCCGCCACTGTCATAGAAATTTTGTATTATACTCTGTGTGTCCTTTCTTTGTTATAATATATTATTGTCAGCTGGCAGTAATCAGAACTGGACATGAAAGTTGTGCAGTTTGCACAGAGAAGACACTACGTGACTGCATGCCCGTGAGAATAGTCATATTATCGCTCTATTAATTGCTCTTAGGGGCTTCATTTTTTTAGCATTGCACAAATGTCACAGCTATTCTTGATCTAGTGCTCTTGCGAATCGATTTTAGCGGTTGTGACTGTTGGAGCGCTGCGCGCGCATGCGCAACGTCGGGTAGGTGTGGTTTGTCAGCTGATCTGCGCTGCAGCGAGACGCGATGGAGCGGGAAGAGAGAGAGGGCCAGAGGGAGAGAGGAGGCCAGGGAGTAAGAGAAGGCAAGGAGGACAGAGAAAGCCAAGAGGACAGAGAAGGCCAGGAAGAGAGAGAAACCCACGAAGACAGAGAGGGTAAAGAGGAAGGAGCCACTAAAAGCAGCATCCCAGAAGGCATGTCCAAGAACCAGTGGAAGAAGATGCAAAGAAGGAAAAGATACGATGAAGGAAGACAAGAATGGAGGTGTGATCGCTTCACAATAATTATTTTACCCTTACTTCACTAAGAGAGAGTTGTTTCTAAATAGCTTTCATATGTACCTATTCTGCAGAAAAAGGCAGCAAGAGAAAGAGAAGGAGAAGAAGCGAAAGAGGAGGGAGCAGGGAATTGTCAGAGGTAAGGACATCCTTGAGCACTTCTCTCTCATTTTTCTCTGTCTGTCACCCATTGTACTCGCCAATACACACAGATCCCCCTCCAAAGAAGCAGAAGATGAGTGATACAACTGCCAGCACCATATGTGTGGCCATTGAACTGGGCTACCAGGACCTCATGACTGACGAGGTCTGTCATCTCTCACCACAGTTTATAGTCTGAAAGTCTCAGTGCAGTATATACCTACAGTTGTTTTGCCCATTTGTGCGTGTGTTATGTGCTGTATACTATGTGTTAGGATATCCGCAGTCTTATGAAGCAGTGTCAGAGGTGCTATGCAGCCAATAGAAGAGCAGCATCTCCACTTCAGGTTTGTGGTAATGGCTTTCAACATTCCCCACTCTCCCTCCACTCATTGCCACCCTGTGGTATAATGGTTGTGGGGTTTAGCTGTATTTCACCAGTTTCTGTGGACGTTTCAAACAGAAGATGGAGGAGACTGTTGGAGGCCATGTCAGATGGGATGTAAGTTATAAGTGTGGACCTGTAGCGAGCTGTGTAGCATAAGTTCTTTCTCCTAGGTTTTTCACAAAGTGTTTTTTTTTGTTTTGTTGAAGGTAAACTTCAGGTCTGGTGACTATGTGGAAGAGTTTGGTACTGAGAGTGTTGTATTCTTAGCTGCCGAGTCTCCCAATGTTGTCACTGGTAATGGTAACACCTATTGCTGTGGTGGATTGAGGGATCCCTGTTATTATAGACCTAGCTACAGACAAGGTGTATGTTATAGGAGGTCTGGTGGACCACAATCATCATAAGGTATGCAAAATACATTAAAAAAACGTTTGTTATATTATATCAGGAGATTATTTTTGCAGGGTCATTGCTACCAGAGTGCACTGTCTAAAGGAGTGGCTCATGCTCAGTTGCCTATATCAGAACACATTGAACTCAAGTCCAGGAGAGTGTTAACTGTCAATCACGGTATGTAATATGCAACCAACGTATATGTTATAGTGCAGTGAAAGAGAAGGAAAGAGAAGGAAATATTTACACTGCAGTGTTTGAGATCTTGGTGGAGTTTGTTCAGCACAAGGACTGGAAACTGGCACTCCAGCAAGTCATTCCATCCAGAAAAATAGCAAGCAGTGGTTGTAGTCCACCTCACCTGTCACCCAGTCTGACCTCTGACCCCACACCACCTCATCTGTCACCCAATCCTGTTCATCCCACACCACCTCACTTGACCCATAGTCTTCCTACTCCAACTCATACCATTCCACCCCACTCCAACACCCCACTCCATCCTACTTCACTCTCAATCAGTTCACCTGACTCCCTGCACTGATAATGGTTCAATTCACCACACGTATGCCCATATGCAATTAAAGACATTTGCGCATGCGCGCACGAGTACAGCCGCCATGCATGCATGTGCCTGAAATCAGGGGCGGAGTTCTGGTGTCCCGCCGCCTAGGCGGCGGGTAGGGGATAAGAGAGAAACCTACGTTCTCAAACATCTACCGAGAAACTTTCGTCAACTGCTTGACTGGATTAACTTGAAAAAAGCGTGTTGGTATGTACTATAATGCATGCATTGTGCTGACCCTCATGCGTGCCCATGAGGGGCGTGTCAGACCATATCTCTGCGTGGCCATCAGAAACGTATGGTAGAAACACGTGTCTAGTTCGCCCAGACGCCCCTCCAGTTCTTTGATGTGGGCTGAGCTCCCAAGTTAACCCCGAAACTGCTGCATGACTGAGCTTACCCACTCAGAAGGTAATGCACCTACAAGTTTGTTTAAATGGGCGTGGCGCATTTATAGCAGGTGCTATCCAGCTAGCTATAATCTAACCGAGAGTGAGGTGCTGTGCGTGTATGTTCTGTTGGAGTCCAGTCTCTCCTCTTGGTTGCCAGCGTCTGTCGCCGCCGACGCTCATGGTCATGCGGGAACGTGTAAAACTTAGTGTCAAGTTTCAGTCTCTATGGGGCAAAGCACTGTATTAGCAAACTTGAGGGAAATGCCTGAGGTTAGGTACTGTGCGTCACCGAGAGGATCGAATAAACATGTGTACCAAGTTTCGGACCGACGTATGTGTGCTAATCTTAATCGGAGTTTGGGGCAACCAAGTTTTATGAATTATTTTTTCTTTGCAGGATATAATAATGAACAACACAGATATTCCACCAGACATATTGGACACAATTGTTGATGATTATTATATTAAAGTCATAGCAAACAAATACCTTATAAGCTGGGAAGAACTAGTTCCAGTACTAGGATTTACTTATGCTCAAGAGAGAGCTATAAGTAGGTCGTTCCCTAATGACTATGGTCAACAAAAACGTTCATTTCTGTATCAGTGGAAAGATTTAAACGGTGATGGTGCTACTTATCGTGTTCTCATCAATGCTGCGGAGGCTGAAGAGCATCGAAATCTAGCTGATAATATTAGGAAACTTTTACGTGAAAGGTTTAGGATCTCATCTCCCCCTTCACTGGCAGGTACAATGATGTGTGTATGTCTCAGTACTGAGTGTTTAGCGATAACACAAGCAAATTAAGCACTATATAAGGACTAAATTTAGAAATGTTACTAAAAACAGAACTTAATTGCATTCTTTCACTGTTTCCTTTTGTTTTGTTCCATCTTTAGTAACATTTCTAAATTTAGCCCTTATAATAATAATACTGCCACATTCCCTTTAATATTACGAGCAAGACAATTCCAAACTCAGCGAGAATTCTTGCTAAGTCTTCACTCCAGTCAACAGGCTCCAGATATAGCTTATAGATAGTGCTTGTACATGCCTCAAGGTCTCCAAGCTAGAACCTGCTCATTAACCTTTGGCGTGCATGCGCAGCGAGGGTTACAGTAGTTGTCGTGTGTGTGTGTCGACGCTTATTCTCGCACTACACGCTACGAGGCGGCCCATGAGCAACACTAACAGCTTCAGAACTACGCGAACCTGAAAACTAAAAAGACAATTTTCCTGAAACGACTGCGTTCGAGGGATATGCCGTGAAAACAAGCGAAAAAGCCAATATGCATAATTGCACTGGGACTTACCTGATCCACTTGCTCTGTGTACCTTGGCGTCATAAGAAGTCCCAACAAAGGGTGTGTATCGACTCCCGCATGCTATCTTATAGCCCGTGTCAGACTCTCCGCGAGCTACTTGCGTGGAAACCACCAGTAAACGCACATTCATAGCCCAGCCCATCAATTAGCAGTACTGCACATGCACAGTGCGCCGAAGGTTTGCACTTCAGTGCCTTTCATTTATGTAGGCATTCACCATTTCCCCCTCCTTTTTGACATCCCTACATTCCCTCCATTAAATAAATGTTCCACTTGTGTGTAATGGTGTACCTCCTATAATTGGCATAGCAAAAATCTGCCCAACAGTTCTTACTGTTTAGTTTGTGTATTCTTTCTTTAGTACGTCCTGCTCTGTTTGCACCTTTGGTCTGTTGCTGCTTTGAATCCATTGCATATCTCCACCACGAACTCTTTCCTGTTGCATCTTCTTCACATCCTTATCCACCTCTTGATCCTTTATATATTGCGGGAAAGTGTGGAAGCCAACCATATCCAATTATCTCTCACAAGCTAAAAAAACGCAGATCATATCACATACCACCTCAACCACCCTCTGTTGCCCTCAACCACAACTGCCTCTGCACCACACAGACTCTCAGCTGGCCAACAAATATACTACAAAAATTGTCCCATCTCGAGGACACATTTGTCATGGTTCTGACGAATGCTCAGTATTGCTTTAGTAATATGACACCTGAGTATACAGATAGGTTTAAGATCCTGCTTATCAACTTGCCAATCTCAACAAGGTTTGAGCATTTGACCTTTTTAACAGTAGAATCACAGGGCATTTCAAAGTGCAAGAAACATGATGGAAATATTTCAAATACTCAAGAATCACTGGAATCCATTTGATATTGGTCTTTTGGAACATTTAGTTGATGTCTTTGGCACTGGTGACTTGAAACAGGACGTGGACAACTACAAAAAGAACTTGGAAGCATTCGAAAAAAGCACAACAGTCCAGCAATTTCAAGACGCATGGAATAGATCGATTCATGCTCCTGATCATTATGGTAGGATCGTGAAAATAATGAAAGCTGACCCTTTCAGGTGCACACTGTGGAAAGTTCGGTGTTTTAAAGAGAATATACGGAAAAGAGCAACTCTTCAAAATTATGTCGGTGCTTTTACCAGATTAGCTGTCAGTTCCGTAATCATCACTTTTGCTCTGCCTCGTTACGGAATTTTGCTTGTAAAAAACAATATTTATGCTGGGTTTTGGGCTGACCATAATTTGGAATCTGTCACGATTGATGGAGAGCAAGTATTCCCGGTATGTAGTATGTAAATAAGCTCATGCAGCCAAAAAGACACTGAACATCCATTGACTCTCCTGGGCTCTTAATGTAAAAATTGCACTATTTTTTTTCTGTAGAAAAGTGGTAATAGAGCTGCAACTCTTTTGAGGCATTCAGAAGCATCATCTACTTCTGGCTCAACGGTAGCTGAAACGGTATGTAGTATGTCATGTAGCCAAAAGGCACTGAACATCCATTGACTCTCCTGAGCTCTTAATGTAACATATTATTGCACTCTTTTGTTCTGTAGAAAAATGGTGAACAGGAACACTATTTTTTATGTCAAAATAGTGTTCCTGTTCACCATTTTTCTACAGATTTAAATTTTCACACAGCAGTTACATGCTTTGTTCTTTTCTGTGTTGTAGGACACAGAAGAAAGTTATCAATTAGGGTTAGTGGAGAAAGAAGAAAGTTATGAAACTGGAAAAGTAAATGACAAAGGGAGTTATGGAACTGGGGATGATAAAGGGAGTGAAAGTGGTGAACAGAAGCACTGTTTTGACATAACACCACACCCAGAGAGTGATTACGACGCCTTTAAATCTGAGGTAAATGAAAAGCACTAAAGTGCAAACCCTCGGCGAACTGCGCATGTGCGGTAACACTAATTGATGGGCTGGGCTTTTTATGCCTTTACTCGTGGTATCCCGCTAGTAGCTCGCGGAGAGTCTGGCACGGGCTAGCTACAGTAGTAAAATAGCATGCGGGAGTCGATACATGCCCTTCGTTGTGACTTGTTGGCCTTCAAGACACACAGAGCGAACGGACGCGGTCGAGGTAAGCCTGTGCTAATTTACATATTGGCTTGTTCACTTGGTTTTCACGCCATAACTTTAAAACACAGTAGTTTTACGAAAATCGCCTTTTTTAAAATCAGCCCAGTGTAGCACTGAACCCGATCATATCGCTATTTACCTGATTTCGTGCGCGCGGTGACAGAAAGCGCGGTGACAGAAAACGTGGTAACAGACAGACGGACTGACAGACACACTTACGGGACAACTACCGTAACCCTCGCTGCGCATGCGCGCCGAGGGTTAATAAAGTGAAACCCTCGACGCACTAGAAACGATCGCACATACTGATACACATGGGCTGGGCTACACACTATCGCGGTGTCCTGCTAGCTTTCGGAGAATCTGACACAGGCTAGCTAGACTTGTAGGATAGCATTTTAGGCATTGCTACACCAGAACCCCTCCATTTTTTATTCTGATTCCTCCATGGTATGCAAAGTGGCAGAATGCAGTGTTTTCATGCCATAGCTTGGAAGCATGAATATCGCCAAATTTGAGTTCAAGTCAGTGTATACAGCAGTAGTACCGCTTTTTGCCTGGCTTGTTGCGCGTGTTGGCAGAAAACATGGTAACAGACAGACGCACACACTTACAAAACAAATACAGTAATCCTCACTCTATGCGCACCGAGGGAACATACATTAGACTGGCATTAACTATACCAGCTGTTACAAGCCAAAGAGATAACTCATTGCTGCCAAGACAGTGTGTCAGAAACGTATGGTAGAAACAGTGTATGGCAGGTTCACCTGTATACGGACGAGATAAGAGGCTTGCAGCTAAGACAGGGAGTGGATTCAATAAGCTTGCTATAATGGTGCTAGTTAACAAAGAGACGGGATTTTCCGCTTCTGAGTCTTACATTATTACCATTATTCTTGTGTTAGTATATACCCCAATTATTGTACTGCAGGTGGTGATGAGCACTTTGAGATATGGACATTGTTCAGTGGAATAATCTTTGGCACTCCAGAACCAGAAGCTTGTCATGGATTGCTAAAGAGGGCAATCGCGAACATAAACCTTATGGTAATTTTCATATTGGCTTGTTCACTTGCTTTTCACGCCATAACATTAGAACGCAGTAGTTATACGAAAACGGTATCGCTGTTTTATTGTGTCGTTGCGCGTAGTAACAGACAGACAGACGACACAACCCTCGCTGCATGCGGAAAAATAGCAAAATGTCCCGGATTTTTCTGGCTTCCACTTGCGTAAGATGACTCTTCAGAGTTCAAACCCCTTAGTCACAGTTCCTTGATAAATTTACTGAACTAGCTAGCTTTGGCTCTCCGCGCGAGGCTATGCTCTGCCTGCCAGTGTCAACACGACGGGCTGCGCTGCGCGCATCAACACGTAATACGCGCACGCGCAGTATGCGAAGAAATCGCGCGCGTTATATTACGTAATAAGTGGGTGTGTCCCCTTTATAAGGGGGCGGGGTCACGCTGTCCCGCATTGTCCTCCGGAAAAGTTGGCAGTAGAATGCATGCGGGAGTCGATATACGCCCTCCGTTGAGACTTCTTGAGCCTCCAAGGTATGCGGAGCAAGCACATCTTGTCGAGGTAAGCCTGCGCTAATTTGCATATTGGCTTGTTCACTTTTCACGCCATAACTTTCGAACGCAGTATTTTTACGAAAATTGCCACTAAAATCAAGCCAGTGTAGCGCCGAACCTATTGGCATAGCTTATTACGCGCCGAGGGTTAATAATACCGGCCAAAGAAAGGGAACAGGAGGCAAATGAAACAGGTGAAGTTTACCAATTTTAGTGAATTTCTGTGCAAAGAGAAAGATAATCCACCTTCTAGTGAAGGAGGAGAGCAATAATATATAGCAAAGAGATTGACAACGGTGCCAGAAAAACCTGCTACTGTGATATTGTAGAATTTTGTGTGTCGGCAGACACCTCTATATGTAGGGATGACATGGATGGTATCTCATGTTATCCGTGTATATACAGTGCCAACTGCTAAGAGAGTAGAATGATCACTTTTTCACTCTTTAGCCAATTTCTCAGTCGTGCGGTAACCAATCCACACACGAGATGATCCTTAATCATTGCCGATTAATCTAGTCCCAGGATTTTACAGCATGCACTAACTTCGTCCCACTAAATGTGAACAAAAGCTTCATAATGCAAGTGCACACGCACAATGACTTACATGGCAGACTGTGGAATATGGCACGTTTAAAATGCGTGTTCATCTAATTACATCACTTCCTTCAAGCAACCTTTGTAATGTTACTCGATGCAGTCGGAAAAATAATTCTTAACATCGCAGAGCAAGAGAGAGAGGAGAGTAAGTTTGAAAAGAAGTGCACAGACCAAAGAAGTAGTGAAATATAACACAGTCTGCTTGTTGCCTATTATGATCTTCCTCCTACCTACAGTTGTTTTGCCCATTTGTGTGTGTTATATGCTGTACACTCTATGTGTTAGGATATCCGCAGTCTTATGAAGCAGTGTCAGAGGTGCTATGCAGCCAATAGAAGAGCAGCATCTCCACTTCAGGTTTGTGGTAATGGAATTTCAACATTCCCCACTCTCCACTCATTGCCACCCTGTGGTATAATCCTTGTGGGGTGTAGCTGTATTTTACCAGTTTCTGTGGACGTTTCAAACAGAAGATGGAGGAGACTGTTGGTGGCCATGTCAGATGGGATGTAAGTTATAAGTGTGGACCTGTAGCGAGCTGTAGCATAAGTTCTTTTTCCTAGGTTTTTCACAAAGTGTTTTTTTTTGTTTTGTTGAAGGTAAACTTCGGGTCTGGTGACTATGTGGAAGAGTTTGGCACTGGGAGTATTGTATTCTTAGCTGCCGAGTCTCCCAATGTTCTCACTGGTAATGGTAACACTTATTGCTGTGGTGGATTGAGGGGACCCTGTCATTATAGACCTAGCTCCGGATAAGGTGTATGTTATAGGAGGTCTGGTGGACCACAACCATCATAAGGTATGCATAAGAAGAACTTTTGCTATATTATATCAGGAGATTATTTTGCAGGGTCATTGCTACCAGAGTGCACTGTCTAAAGGAGTGGCTCATGCTCAGTTGCCTATATATATCAGAACACATTGAACTCAAGTCAGGAGAGTGTTAACTGTCAATCACGTAATGTAATATGCACCAACGTATATGTTTATAGTGCAGTGAAAGAGAAGGAAAGGAAATATTTACACTGCAGTGTTTGAGATCTTGGTGGAGTTTTGTTCAGCACAAGGACTGGAAACTGCACTCCAGTCAGTCATTCCATCCGAAATACAAGCAGTGGTTGTAGTCCACCTCACCTGTCACCCAGTCTGACCTCTACCCCACACCACCTCATCTGTCACCCAATCCTTTTCATCCCACACCACCTCACTTGACCCATAGTCTTCCCACTCCAACTCATACCATTCACCTCACTCCACACCCCACTCCATCCTACTTCACTCTCAATCAGTTCACCTGACTCCCTGCAACTGATAATGGTTCATTCACCACACGTACATATGCAATTAAAGACATTTGCGCATGCGCGCACGAGTACAGCCGCCATGTGCCTGAAATCAGGGGCGGAGTTCTGGTGTCCCGCCGCCTAGGCGGCGGGTGGGGATAAGAGAGAAACCTACGTTCTCAACACTCTACCGAGAAACTTTCGTCAACTGCTTGACTGGATTAACTTGAAAAAGCGTGTTGGTATGTACTATTAATGCATGCATTGTGCTGACCCTCATGCGTGCCCATGAGGGGCGTGTCAGACCATATCTCTGCGTGGCCATCAGAAACGTATGGTAGAAACACGTGTCTAGTTCGCCCAGACGCCCTCCAGTTCTTTGATGTGGGCTGAGCTCCCAAGTTTACCCCGAAACTGCTGCATGACTGAGCTTACCCACTCAGAGGTAAGCACCTACAAGTTTGTTTAAGGGCGTGGCGCATTTATAGCAGGTGCTATCCAGCTAGCTATAATCTAACCGAGAGTGAGGTGCTGTGCGTGTATGTTCGTTGGAGTCCAGTTCTCTCCTCTTGGTTGCCACCGATCCTGTCGCCGCCGACGCTCATGGTCATGCGGGAACGTGTAAACTTAGTGTCAAGTTTCAGTCTCTATGGGGCAAAGCACTGTATTAGCAAACTTGAGGGAAATGCCGAGGTTAGGTACTGTGCGTCACCGAGAGGATCGTAATAAACATGTGTACCAAGTTTCGGACCGACTATGTGTGCTAATCTTAATCGGAGTTTGGGGCAACCAAGTTTTTAATGAATTATTTTTTCTTTGCAGGATATAATAATGAACACACAGATATTCCACCGGACATATTGGACACAATTGTTGATGATTATTATATTAAAGTCATAGCAACAAATACCTTATAAAGCGGGAAGAACTAGTTCCAGTACTAGGATTTACTTATGCTCAAGAGAGAGCTATAAGTAGGTCGTTCCCTAATGAATATGGTCAACAAAAACGTTCATTTCTGTATCAGTGGAAAGATTTAAACGGTGATGGTGCTACTTATCGTGTTCTCATCAATGCTGCGGAGGCTGAAGAGCATCGAAATCTAGCTGATAATATTAGGAAACTTTTACGTGAAAGGTTTAGGATCTCATCTCCCCCTTCACTGGCAGGTACAATGATGTGTGTATGTCTCAGTACTGAGTGTTTAGCGATAACACAAGCAATTAAGCACTATATAAGGACTAAATTTAGAAATGTTCCTAAAAACAGAACTTAATTGCATTCTTTCACTGTTTCCTTTTGTTTTGTTCCATCTTTAGTAACATTTCTAAATTTAGCCCTTATAATAATAATACTGCCACATTCCCTTTAATATTACGAGCAAGACTATTCCAAACTCAGCGAGAATTCTTGCTAAGTCTTCACTCCAGTCAACAGGCTCCAGATATAGCTTATAGATAGTGCTTGTACATGCCTCAAGGTCTCCAAGCTAGAACCTGCTCATAACCTTTGCCGTGCATGCGCAGCGAGGGTTACAGTAGTTGTCGTGTGTGTGTGTCGACGCTTATTCTCGCACTACACGCTACGAGGCGGCCCATGAGCAACACTAACAGCTTCAGAACTACGCGAACCTGAAAACTAAAAAGACAATTTTCCTGAAACGACTGCGTTCGAGGGATATGCCGTGAAAACAAGCGAAAAAGCCAATATGCATAATTGCACTGGACTTACCTGATCCACTTGCTCTGTGTACCTTGGCGTCATAAGAAGTCCCAACAAAGGGTGTGTATCGACTCCCGCATGCTATCTTATAGCCCGTGTCAGACTCTCCGCGAGCTACTTGCGTGGAAACCACCAGTAAACGCACATTCATGCCCATCAATTAGAAGTACTGCACATGCGCAGTGCGCCGAGTGTTTGCACTTCAGTGCCTTTCATTTATGTAGGCATTCACCATTTCCCCCTCCTTTTTGACATCCCTACATTCCCTCCATTAAATAAATGTTCCACTTGTGTGTAATGGTGTACCTCCTATAATTGGCATAGCAAAATCTGCCCAACAGTTCTTACTGTTTAGTTTGTGTATTCTTTCTTTAGTACGTCCTGCTCTGTCTGCACCTTTGGTCTGTTGCTGCTTTGAATCCATTGCATATCTCCACCACGAACTCTTTCCTGTTGCATCTTCTTCACATCCTTATCCACCTCTTGATCCTTTATATATTGCGGGAAAGTGTGGAAGCCAACCATATCCAATTATCTCTCACAAGCTAAAAAAACGCAGATCATATCACATACCACCTCAACCACCCTCTGTTGCCCTCAACCACAACTGCCTCTGCACCACACAGACTCTCAGCTGGCCAACAAATATACTACAAAAATTGTCCCATCTCGAGGACACATTTGTCATGGTTCTGACGAATGCTCAGTATTGCTTTAGTAATATGACACCTGAGTATACAGATAGGTTTAAGATCCTGCTTATCAACTTGCCAATCTCAACAAGGTTTGAGCATTTGACCTTTTTAACAGTAGAATCACAGGGCATTTCAAGTGCAAGAAACATGATGGAAATATTTCAAATACTCAAGAATCACTGGAATCCATTTGATATTGGTCTTTTGGAACATTTAGTTGATGTCTTTGGCACTGGTGACTTGAAACAGGACATGGACAACTACAAAAAGAACTTGGAAGCATTCGAAAAAAGCACAACAGTCCAGCGATTTCAAGACGCATGGAATAAATCGATTCATGCTCCTGATCATTATGGTAGGATCGTGAAAATAATGAAAGCTGACCCTTTCAGGTGCACACTGTGGAAAGTTCGGTGTTTTAAAGAGAATCTACGGAAAAGAGCAACTCTTCAAAATTATGTCGGTGCTGTTACCAGATTAGCTGTCAGTTCCGTAATCATCACTTTTGCTCTGCCTCGTTACGGAATTTTGCTTGTAAAAAACAATATTGATGCTGGGTTTTGGGCTGACCAAAATATGGAGTCTGTCACGATTGATGGAGAGGAAGTATTCCCGGTATGTAGTATGTAAATAAGCTCATGCAGCCAAAAAGGCACTAAACATCCATTGACTCTCCTGAGCTCTTAATGTAAAAAATTGCACTATTTTTTTTCTGTAGAAAAATGCCAATAGAGCTGCAACGCATTCATCTACTTCTGGTTCAACGGTAGCTGACACGGTATGTAGCTAGTATTTCATGTAGCCAAAAGGCACTGAACACCATTGAGTCTCCTGAGCTCTTAATGTAAAAATGATGCATACTGCACTCTTTTGTTCTGTAGAAAAATGGTAATAGAGCTCCAATGAGTCATTCAGATGTATTGTCTACTTCTGGCCCATCAAAATCAATGGTAGCTACCAGTCTTTCTCTTATTTTTGCTGCAAATGAAATATTCTTTTATATATAGGGTGTTTTTAGCAACCTTCTAGCACTGCAACTAGTTCCCAAGGGAGAAGGAGAAAGCTTAACCAAAAGCTATATTTTCTCATATGATCTATTTAAATCTGAGGTAGGTATAGTTATGAGTCTGCAGTACACACTTCGTTACTGAATTTATGTTTTGATCCTGTTGCAGATTGTGGCCGTTAGCTATAGTTTTCCTTTTGGTCTGGAACAAAATGCGTATGAGCCACATGGAGTGGAAATAACTTTCTCTGGAACTGGTGGACAGGAACTTTTACAATCTTTACTTAAAGCCTGTCAGCCAGATCCATCACTAAAATTATATGGGATAGGTGAAAAGGAAATTTTGGACGAAAGAGCGACTCCAGAAGATGAACAGCCTAGTGAAGGAGATGTACATGATGAAGAGGTTTCTGGTGAAATGGTAGTACCACGTGGCCGTGGTACTAACCGACGTTGTGTGCTATTATAGAAATCAGCCTTCAGAGTGTGCGTGTATGTGCAATATTACAAACCCATGTGTGTTTGTGTGTGTTAGCTACCACCCCCTACTGGACAAGACGACTTTCTGTCACAGTCATTCTTCTTCCCTTTGTTTTCATGACCTGGCATCCGATAATTTTTTGGGTATTTCAGACTTGTATGTCTTGCTTTTAAAGCCTGTTAAAAATATAAGCGCATGCGCATTTTCCGCAGCAATAAACGTATAGTTTTGACCCCAGGCCCTTTACACTAATGATGGAGGATGGGGACAAGGCTTAGCTGCGCACAGGCTGAAAATTTCGAGTTCTTACATTAGTGGGTTTTTCTCTGCAACGGTAACATTTGTTTTACTGTGCTATACTCTTGCTGGCCTAAACACCCATGCATGCTGCTGCCTGAAAGCAGCTAAAGCCGCGTTGTCTCCAGTCCCTATGATGTGGCAATTTTCTGAACCAGCAGTCTCAGCACAACCAAGAAAATTACCATTAGGGAACATGTGAAGGTGCATGTCATGAGCTTGCTTATATTGACCAACTGTTGTACAATGAATTAAATTTTGATTCCGCTGTATTACACTTTGTACGCTGTCGTCAAACTGTCCACGCATTAGTACTGTGAAGACTTGACACCTGAGTCCTTTTTCTGATTCCATCACCGTTTGGATACACATGTATATGCTCTGTAGCCATGCTCACAGAGATGTGATTGTGCATCAGTATACGCACACTGTGGAATAATTATGTAATGGCACGTGTATGCCAAGCTGGTTAGCAAGCAAAACCACTTTGATATTTTAGGAAAAATAATTACCTTTACATTGCAGAGCAAGAGAGAGAGGAGAGTAAGTTTGAAAAGAAGTGCACAGACCAAAGAAGTAGTGAAATATAACACAGTCTGCTTGTTGCCTATTATGATCTTCAAAAATTCTGGTAAAACAAAGTGCTAATAATCCTCCTCAGCTTCATCTGACTTCTCCAATATTGGGTTCTTGTACTCAGTTTGAGGAGTCACATACAGCGGGTTAGAATGCTGCGAGGAAAAAGGAATAATATATACGTCGTAGCTGTCGAGCAGCGTGGCAAAGGCCGAGGCAGTAGCGTCTGTTGCCAGCGCGTAAATGCTGGCCCAGTCTAGACAAATAATTATGTTGAAGCCAGTCTCGACCTATCAGTGAGGGCCCCTCCCCCTCTATGTGGTCAACGCGTGTGTCTACCATGATAGCAAGGAAGTGTGGCATTGCTAAGAAACTGTTACTAAAACGGACACCTAATTATACATTCTCACACTGGGCATGACTATTGCTTAGTTCCTAACATTTCTAAATTTAGCTGTTATGAAGTGTATACTAAACACCAGAAAGTGGGCTTACAACACAGTTTGGTATGATACAGACGGCTCTAATAGCATGATGTGTGGGAGCAGTTTGTGCTGTCAAAACTCACTGGTACAAAGTCCCCATGATGCATGTCGTCCAGGAACTTCCTGTATTCCTTTCTCTCCTGTGGAGATTTTGAATCAGGGATTGAATCACAGCAGTCTGTGTTCACAAACATGACTGTCTAACCTTATGGTACGTGCAGAACTGCTGCATTCAGCCAGACAACTAGCTAGGTATGTACGTAGGCACATTTCACTCCCCAATAATGCAGGCAGAACCAATAAGATTGTGTGTGTGGTAAGAGACGGATTACACAATGTGTGTTGTAACAGACTGACTAGAGCCAATACAAATGTGTGTGGTAACAGACGTACGACGGCCATTAGGATGCACTTGGCGACAACCAGCAGGAGGACTCCCAGAAGTATAATACCTCCTATGATGGACACCGGTATGATCCAGACCAGCTGACCTAGTATGTCTGACTCCTGACAGTCTGTGAAGCAGAGTAACAAACACTGATATCTACATACAGTACCTTACTGACACTGTGGAAGGGTATTTGCATTGTCAAATGACCTACTCTAGTATACTGTTCCCGCGTCCCCAAGCTCAATAAGGTGATATGTGTGAAGACAAGGGGACAAGGCTAGTAAGAACTGTTTACCAGAGAGTCCATACTTGTGACAGGAGTGTACAAGGGATAAATGTTACTAAGAACAGAAATTCTTTCACTGAGCCCTATCATTCTTCCATCTTTAGTCACATTTACATTCCCTTACTAAATCATGTTTTACTGCTACTAATGCATTCTACACAGGTTACAAGCTAAGGTCGACGATATCTTTATTGTAGGAGCATGGCCCACCTCTCTCTTCTCCAACAAAGACACTGCCCATAGTGTTGAAATCCCCAGAGAGTACCACCTGAAAGTCCACAATACATCCCTCCCGCTCAAATGTACAAGACACCAACACTCCATCACTAGCTGCAGAGAAACAAGAACTGATTATAGGGCTTTGCGTGGTATTATGATGAACCACACATAAGCCTGACACTCAGCTATATACATACCATGGAAAAACCTTTTAAGGAAATGGGGACAGCTATGGCTTACACAGAGCCAAACCTGAACAAGACCTATATGTATGTAGGTTGTGTTTGTGTACTAATTTCAAGAGGAGGTAGTAAGTGAGGTAGAAATGTACAGTGTTCCATGGGTCTAGGCTTCAAGAGTGTGTTTGTAGTAAAAATATCATACTTGAGACTCCAATGTTTTAGTATCTAGAATTTCGTACTAAGTGTCATCTTTACAATGAGACTCCACTGTAGTAATGACGTGTGTCTAGTGGTGGACCAGGTAGGACTCACTCAGTTCGTCTAGGCCCTTGGGACTGCAGTCTCCTGATGTACAGTTGTTGGGCCAGCACTTAGCACATGACTCAAACTTATCACACAACTCATCCTGCATGTGAGCAAAGTTTATCGCTTGCTTGCACCACCTTCTTCACCTTTGTATAATATAAGGGCTAACCGAGCCACTGGGCAGTCAATGACCCACTAAAAATCTTAGGACTGTGGTTTTTAGAGGTTAAAAATGTACATCAAAGTGTGTCGTTCTTTTCCCTATTGCATCCTTTATTCGGAGTGTCCTTTTCCTTATTCGGAGGTTCTATATACTGTATTGCCAAAAAGGTTGGTAATCAGGGTGAATATAATCAGTATACCACACGGGTACATGTAAGCTCACCGTGTTGATGCAGGTTCTGTTGTACGGGACGGCATCGTCTCGAGGACAGTCACACCTGTTGCAGTCACATTCCCCATCTCTCCCTTCATTCCCCCCCTTGTCCCGACTGTATGCACACTCTCTCTGCAGGGAAACATTCAGCATTATTATGGATCTCTTAATGCCCCCTCCTTCCCCCTTCATCCCTAATTCCACTCACAGGAAGTGTTCTCTTTAATTTCATGCATTGCGAAACTTCTAGAGGGACACTTGCTCCCTAATTATCTTTCACAGCTTGCATAAAAATTAAAAAACTCCTCCCACGCCCATAAAAGGTCATGATTGTAATGAAGGCCCCTACTATACTTGGCCCGTTCCATAGCAGCTCATTTGCTACTACAACCTGCGGTATGTACTTTTGCATGCAACCACGAGTTCACAACATAATTATATCTCCTTCATTATACAGTGATAATGGGATATTGCTAGGCCAAGAAGTTTTAGAGACGCCCTTGCCCTCTCTTTAGATAAGTAGAAAAGTGAACTTTTGGGATCTCAAAGTGTGTCCTTTATTGAGAGGTTTGTTCTATTGCGTCCTCTATTCGGAGTATCGGAGCTCACGCCAGGGTACTGTTCATTGTAGCAGTTGTCAGGGTCACAGCCACAGTCATCTTCCAAGTACCGGTCACCAGAGAGAGGAGCTGTCCCACACTTACAGTCACAGTCACACTTTTCTCCATCACACACACACTCTCCCCTACCTGTGTAATATACAGAGGACTTTACAGAGATATGCAGTATACAGTGGATCTATAAGGACACCCCAGAAATGAAGACCCCTCTCTCATTTGGACACACTTTCTTTCCCCAGAAAATGTTCACTGCAGACTTGGTCTACATCTCTCCCAACACTCACCACTGCAGACTTGGTCTATATCTCTCCCAACACTAACCACTGCAGACTTGGTCTATATCTCTCCCAACACTCGCCACTGCAGACTTGGTCTATATCTCTCCCAACACTCACCACTGCAGACTTGGTCTATATCTCTCCCAACACTCACCACTGCAGACTTGGTCTATATCTCTCCCAACACTCACCACTGCAGACTTGGTCTATATCTCTCCCAACACTCACCACTGCAGACTTGGTCTATATCTCTCCCCACACTCACCACTGCAGACTTGGTCTATATCTCTCCCACACTCACACTGCAGACTTGGTCTATATCTCTCCCAACACTCACCACTGCAGACTTGGTCTAATCTCTCCCAACACTCACCACTGCAGACTTGGTCTATATCTCTCCCAACACTCACCACTGCAGACTTGGTCTATATCTCTCCCAACACTCACCACTGCAGACTTGGTCTATATCTCTCCCAACACTCACCACTGCAGACTTGGTCTATATCTCTCCCAACACTCACCACTGCAGACTTGGTCTATATCTCTCCCAACACTCACCACTGCAGACTTGGTCTATATCTCTCCCAACACTCACCACTGCAGACTTGGTCTATATCTCTCCCAACACTCACCACTGCAGACTTGGTCTATATCTCTCCCACACTCACCACTGCAGACTTGGTCTATATCTCTCCCAACACTCACCACTGCAGACTTGGTCTATATCTCTCCCAACACTCACCACTGCAGACTTGGTCCTATATCTCTCCCAACACTCACCACTGCAGACTTGGTCTATATCTCTCCCAACACTCACCACTGCAGACTTGGTCTATATCTCTCCCAACACTCACCACTGCAGACTTGGTCTATATCTCTCCCAACACTCACCACTGCAGACTTGGTCTATATCTCTCCCACACTCACCACTGCAGACTTGGTCTATATCTCTCCCAACACTCACCACTGCAGACTTGGTCTATATCTCTCCCAACACTCACCACTGCAGACTTGGTCTATATCTCTCCCAACACTCACCACTGCAGACTTGGTCTATATCTCTCCCAACACTCACCACTGCAGACTTGGTCTATATCTCTCCCAACAGGACAGGCTCCAGCACCAGTGGAGTTGTCACACTGACATCTCGCTCCAAAGCTGCCAACTATCTGACCTATAGTGTCCTGCAATGTGGCAGTATAATTATACATAGGAATAAAATGGAAACGCATTGCGTTCTTGCTCTGAGCCCTATTGTTTTGTTCCATCGTCAGTAATGTGATTTATTTAGCCCTATATAATATACACACTGTATGGAGGGCTTAACAGGAATGTTCAAAAGACCTTCACAAGACTTATGTGCACATAGTTACGTATAATGAATCTGTGTATCACATATTTTCCAGTAGACTGAATTACCTGCTGTGTAAAACATGAGGTACACTCTTCTGAGCAGTTGTTGCAAGTTCCTCTATTGAAACAGTCATCTCTGGGGAAAAAGACAATGTTTCAATTCAACTAGTGATCAGAGGAAGGCTATAAACTGCACGGCTGCTAGTAAGCTTTGTGAGAATCTTGCATGTTTACGGATATATTATGTCGCACCTGTTAACAAACGGGACATCAAAACAGTTTTTTCTACCTGCTGGTATTACACAATAATACAAATACTACCATCATCACTTACGGACAACGCTGCAGCTGGCGACCACAATCACACTGATCTCCAAAAACTGATACTCTGCAATCAAAATATGCAGCAGCACCATGTCAATGTGACTATAGCATGATGATACGTACATAACTGTATGCTACACAACACAGCAATACTTCTTACCCAGAACATTCACAGATCCCACACACAAGAGAGCCTGTGCCATTGCAAGACATGTGGTTTGCAGTCTGTAAATAATAGATAGTCCATACTGCACAGCTACTATGTATATAACATTACCATTTGTGATGTGCAGTTGCATTCACAGATAGGTACCAGGGTCAGCTCCACATTACCAAATCCAGGCAGAGGTAGAAGTCGACTGGAGAGAAAGCAATCTATAAAACATGTAATCTGTTACTGTTGGTTAGCCTAAAGCTGTGTTTACATATAATATGGTGAAGGGGGAGGACCAGATTCAATGATAGGCTGTGCCGAGTTGTGTACGTAAATGCTAGACTTGCGACTGACACGCGCACAGTATTGTGAACCCAATTACTAAGACTTACGTTTGCATGTCTTTCAGACACTGGTCCATGGTGACTGTGACATTGAAACTCACGAGATCTTCTATGGCCACATTGGCACAACCTCTCCCATCCGAGGTCCTGTGTTTTAGTCATAAGCCTTTAGATAGCTACATGTACTGCAAGTTCCAGCAGCTTCGCACAGTTAACCCTCGGGGCACATGAGCAACAAGTTGCATGGGTTACAGTACTTGGTTTGTGTGTCTGTCTGCTAATAAACCTACAGTATGTATATATGTACCTCAGTGACTCTACATGTAGCTCTAGGCCAGTTTTTTTAAATGCATGTGTGTGTTTTGGCACCACAACTCACAGAGTGCAGTTGAGGACAGGGGCAATCCCAATTGTGAGTCCAGATACGCTGTCCACAACTATGTCTCTTGTTACACTCTGCAACATTGTGTGAGTGTCAGTATAACATATGTACACTTGGACTCAGAGCACATTATACCTCATAGGCCCTTCTGATGACACTGACAATGTCAGCCGAGTCCTCAGCTATGGTCTGAACAAAAGCCCTGGAGCTACCAATCTCCTCAGCCAGCTCCTGCAGACACCATAACATATAACAATATCAGTGGATCTCCTCTATGGGTCAGAAGACAAAGAGTCCATAATAGGGAGGTATCCTTTCTTAGGATGCAAAAAATGTTCTTTGGGAAAGAAAAGGTGTTCTTAAAACCCATGCCATGGGTATCTGCTTAAATAAGCAGAAATTGATGTATAACATAGTATTATAGCCCCATATACATTCTTATGGGTTTATGGAGGCTCTCGACATACATATCATGTCCGAGAGGTGCGAGGTGCCTTACCCTTCTCTAAGGAAACCTCTAAAATGGGGATAGAAAAGGTGTTCTTATTAGAGAGGTGTCCTCATTTTAGTGGTGTCCTTAGAGAGGGGTTCTACTCTATATTAGCACTAACCCTGTATACAACATCGTCTGTCACTGTCCGTTCTCTGACAACATCTTCTTGTACTGCAAATATAGTGATGATGTCGTTTTCTATCAACTTCTCCCGTACTTGATAGATGGAGGGAAAATCCTGCAATTAGGTGAAAAAGAAAATACAGTCCAGTTAGTATTTGTTTGCTGGACCTTTGTATTATAAAACCCGTCCTATACCACTGACTTCCATGTCAGCATCATGCGCACACATTATGCATACATATGTATAATATGTATGTATATATAATGACGCATAATGAATGCACGGGAGCTACGCTCTCTTTTGCACATCTGCAGCGTAAAGTCAATTTTCAGCAAATTTCATATTAAAAAGTTACACAAAACCATTTTCACTGACAAGCTTTCCCTAACACACACACACACCCAAATCTGACCTGCTCGGGACCACGAGAGTAGTCATAGAAACCTTCCTCTAGTTCCAGATGACATTCCCCATCATTTCTGGTCACCAGTGCAGCAACCTACAGATACATGTAGGTAACTCTGTAACCAGCAACCAGTTGGATTGTGCCATCTGGCTAATTTTACAAGTACATACCAACCGTTCCTTCTGCTCACATTTTCTCTCACTTTATAAATTCACAAACTCAGCGTTTTCAGAGCATACGGCGAAGGGTTTACCTGGGGAGTTTGTGGGTAGGATAATTTGTACGGCTGGGTGGGCAAGTACGCCACCACACCATCACGATTTAAAGTTTTGCCCGTGCGAACTGTCAGTTTTTTCACATCATCGCTAAGCTTGTGTTCCTGACAACTGAGGAGTGACTGCAACACATGCTACAGGGACATGCTTGCTTTATTCACTCAAAGTCACATTTCCACCTGCTATTAGTAACAGTGTACCCTTCCATCCAGAGCAGTCTTGAATCCAGCATCAGTCAGGATCATGACTATCCTCAGACTGCCATTCCTCCATCCAACCTCCTGAGGAAAATATCATTGATATAATTATTTGGTTAATCAGAAAGTTTTTCATTGAATTTCATTAACCCTCGGTGCACTAGAAACATTGTACACATACGTGGTACTGCTAATTGATCAGCTCATTCATGAACAGTGATAGTTTTATGGCGCTATTAATTCTCGACCAAAGACATTAATTTGCAGAATAGTGAAACGATACTGGACATGCATGAAAAAAACTTAATGCTATACCCAATTTAACGGATTATTTTAGGCAAAACAATATTTTCTAAGGTTGAAAAAATATATAACTTAATTCTATTCACCATTTCAACTTTTTGTTTTAGGCAAAACAATTAAAGGTTGAAAAAAATATTGGGCCAGCCCTACATCTCTCCAGACAGACATCTATGGACGCAGTGCAATGCTAAACTGTACGCTGCCCTTTAAGAAACATGGGTCAGTGGTAGATTCATGGGTAAGGGGAGGAACCAGAGCTGCTCCCAGCCAATGCTCTGGACCACCTGTCAGTTTCAGTGCAGGTCCGGGATTCGAACCGGGCACCTTATGCTGACAGTCCCCACGTCTCTAACCACTTAGCCACTTGGGCTGGCCACGAGAGGTGGTGAAAAAACGTTCCTCTTATATCAACAATCATATTTACATCATTATAAAAAAAAAAACCAGATAAGCAGGATCAAACCGCTGACCTCACGATCAAGATGGCGAGTCCTTATCCATCAAACCGCACCCAATACTTGAGAGGGTAGGTATAATTACCTTTCATGGCACTCATTTATGGCCAACTAACATGCTATCTACTCCAGATTAGTACCAACGTACAGATACTGTGTGTATCTCTTTTTATAGCGGTTGCTATACACATAGGGTTGTATGTACACTGGCAACTGCGCAGGCAGATGAAGCTTAGTAATTTAGTAATGAAAAGTGGTACTGCCATGGTAGAATTTCTGTATTACACACTTATTAACCCTCGGCGCGCATGCGCAGCGAGGGTTACGGTAGTTGGGTTTGTCTGTCTGTCTGTCTGTCTGTCTGTGTGTGTGTCTGTCTGTTACTCGTCATCTCACTTCTCGAGTGTTCGTTCGTCTCACAAAGGATACCACCTACTGAACGGGCAATGAAGGTCAGAAAATATGTGGGGTTTTCTCTGAAACTGCTCCGTTGCAGAGCTAGAGCGCGAAAAAGCTAATATGCAAATAGGCAACGGACGGGACGGCTTACCACGGTCTGATCGATCCGCGTGCTCTGCGTACCTCAGAGGCACCAGAAGATGCAACGCAGGGCATGTATCGCCTCTCGCATGCTATCTAGTAGTGTAGTTAGCCCGCGTCAGACTCTGCGCGAGCTGGGAAAAGACCACGAGTAACAGCTAAAACTAAACCCAGCCCATCAATTAGTGATACGGCGCATGCGTTTACTTACGCGTGCGCGTCACAATGCGCCGAGGGTTTGCACTTCAGTGCTTTTCATTGTTGATGGCTCAATAGTATACCATCCCTGCACTACCTACTATTACTCACGTCCAGACAGACGACTGATTGTAGGAGAGCCTCCAAAGTAGCCTCAGGAGCATCCAGATTACCTCTGATTGTCACATTCTCCAGAACTTCCTAGCAAAACCGTGGCAAATTTAGCAGATTACATTCGAGCAGCAAAATAAGTGTTCACACTAATATGTACATACGTGTTAGAGCTAGTAGCATGATCTATGTGCGTTTATATTGGCGGAATTGCAAATATAATTCTGCAATGGAGCCTGTTTTCATAATTACCCTCGGCGCGCATGCGCAGAGAGGGTACAGTACTTGGGGGTCTGTCTGTCTGTCTGTGTCTGTTTGTTTGTCTGTTATTCTATATCTCACTCCTGGAACGTCTGTTCGTCTCAGAAACGTTACCATCTACCCAACGGGCGACGAAGGTCAGAAAATAAAGGCAGTTTTCTCTGAAAATGCTCCGTTGCAAAGCTAGAGCACGAAAAAGCCAATATGCAAATACGCAACGGGCTTACCGGAGTACCCGCGCGGTCTGATCGATCCGCGTGCTCTGCGAACTCAGAGGCACCAGAAGATACAACGCAGGGCGTGTATCGCCTCTCGCATGCTGTCTAGTAGTGTAGTTAGCCCGCGTCAGACTCTGGCTAGAGACCAGCCAGAACTAAACCCAGCCCATCAATTAGTGATACAGCGCATGCGCTTACCCACGCGTGCGCGTCACAATGCGCCGAGGGTTTTGCACTTTAGTGCTTTTTATTAACCCTCGGCGCGCATGCGCAGCGAGGGTTACGGTAGTTGTCCCGTAAAAGTGTGTCTGTCTGTCAGTCTGTCAGTCTGTCAGTCAGTCAGTCTGTCTGTTACCACGTTTTCTGCCACCGCGCGCACGAAATCAGGTAAATAGCGATATGATCGGGTTCAGTGCCACACTGGGCTGATTTTAAAAAAGGCGATTTTCGTAAAACTACTGTGTTTTAAAGTTATGGCGTGAAAACCAAGTGAACAAGCCAATATGTAAATTAGCACAGGCTTACCTCGGCCGCGTCCGTTCGCTCTGTGTGTCTTGAAGGCATGCTATTTACTACTGTAGCTAGCCCGTGCCAGACTCTCCGCGAGCTACTAGCGCTAGCGGGATACCACGAGTAAAGGCACAAAAAGCCCAGCCCATCAATTAGTGTTACCGCACATGCGCAGTTTGCCGAGGGTTTGCACTTTAGTGCTTTTCATTGATAATGGTATTGCTGTTCGGCTATTTTATAGAATAACTGACAGACAGACACAAAGTATTTTAACCCTCGCTGCACTGAAGACTACTAGTCTAGAGAGGACTCACTCTTAGCTGACCACTGTCATTGGTCAGTGGGAGATGGTGTCTGTAGACATAGGTTGGCCCACATGAGGCTCTCCCATTAGCACACTCTGTCCTGTGGACAAAACATTAGTGACTAAATGAAGGTTTTTGTCATGAGTACAGTACAGAGCTGAACCCGATAAAGTCCATTTGAGGTTATGTGAAAGCTACCGTGAATGCGACCACCACGTGTTAACTTTCGTTTATTAAATTCTCTGTACTTACTATTTAGGACTGAATAGCACGAGACATGCGTGAAAATATTAGAATGCTTCACTCTAACAGGGGCAAGTGTTTTGAAGAGTGATAGATAGGGAGGCAAAAACGACGACTGCAAAACAAAAAATGGTGACATACACCATGTTTCCCAGGTGTCTGGTCAGGTAGTCAGAGCCATTCCGTAGTGTGGAGGCAAAGGGGTAGGCAATCTTGTCAACAAACGAGCCAAATCCGAGAGTAAACTGTGATGAGATTTGCTCCAGTTCATCAGCTGCACGAACACATCATCACTCAATGTGTCATTGTGTGCAGCATTAGTGAAAATTATACCACTCACTGATGGAGTTAGAGAGGTCCTTGAGACTGTCCAGGTCAGGGGCTTGAGATCCAGAGAGGTCCATGAGGAAGTACATGTCCAGAGGATAGTTCCTGGCTGGCTTCACTGACAGAGTGAATGTCTGAGGCTCTCCTGTACAGTATGTCCACCAACGTAATACACAGAAGTTAGCTACAGACATAGAGTGGTACTTGAAACACAACTCTTAAACTATCAACCACAGATCAGGTCTTCTATACTAGGATTAAAGGGAGAGGCATGCATTTGTTGTGCCTTTGCCTTTCTACCTCGTAGTTTTTCACATGCATGGTGTGAAGAGGAAGCTAACAGCCTCAGAAAGGAATATATCTAGTCCTTTGTGTAAGCGAATGCAGCACATTTTGGGACACATAACATGGTGGGCACAAGATTAATCTGCCACACCCAAGACTACATTAGAGAGTACACTGCAGGCATGGCCTGAATACACACAGACACACAGGGAGGGGGGACCAGCTTTCTGTGGAAGTTGTATATACCTCAGTCAACTGAGCTACACTCTAGACTGAAGCTGGTGCTTTATTCAGGACATAGTCACTCGTTGGAGGCAACCAACATGTATGAAGCGAAGTATGTACTGGGGAATCTTATCAGTCTATACAATCCTGTGTCCGAATGCAGAGTTTATACAGTACATGCCATTTTCGCCTAGGGATATCCACAAAATGTTGTAGTACAGCATGAGCCCTGCAAATGCAACATTATAGTGATTATGTAACTCTTAACACACTTCTTACATGTCTAAACATTGCGGAGTACTGCAAACACAAACAGCTGTGGTGTAATGCACTTTCAACTGGTCACAGTTTCTATGTCTCTTCAAAAACAGACATGTTTCTCTCACAGACTTACAGCTACACTAGCTTCATGTACAAGCCATTCATGTTTTCTATGTGTGTAAGGGTCCACGGTGCCACTTCATGAATATACGTACGTACTATGCATGAAACACAGTTGAGAGGACTGTATATATACATACATACAATGTACCTGTTCGGAGATTAAGACGGATTTCTTGTGGAGATATCTGAACTGTTTCTCCAAATGGTTCCTGAGAGTGACATACACACCGTAATTACTACTCCAGTCATGCACAATTGAGACCGTGATAACTTTGGGACAATTTCCTGGGATTTCAGGTAGGAAAAGTTTTGCTACAGTATGGGTGCAATACGCAGTGAACACTGCTGGCTATTGGCAACTACTCATTCCATGTGGTCGAGAGTCAATAAGCAACCGACATGAACCGAGAGGGAATGCTGAACCAATAACTGCATTCTCTCATGGATTGGTATAGAGAGGGATAGCTGTAATCGTGGTATATACATGCTATTCAACTCTCAAATTGTACATACACTCAGGAATATGACCACAGCCTATGTTTAGATGTTTAATGAAGGTAATCAATGGATAGGGAGAGTTGTGTAGTCTTCCACCAACACTTGTGTGTCTGACTCAAGAGCCTTTACTAACTTAAATTCACCTCTTTCACTATCTGTGGAGGGGCGGCCACTGGGTTTTCAAGCCCAGAGAGACAGTCTGCTGTCTGGTTACTGGTACATCTGTGACCTGAGAATGGCTGTGGGGGAGAGATAATAGATAGGGAACAGGGAAAGTTGACATTGCTTTTTAATACAATCAATGAGTGTTTGGTCACACTGCATGTTTGTACATGCAATTTTACCGGTTCATGTGGGAGAGAAAACTTCAAAATGCACATTCTTCTGAAGCACACAATACAGTAGATGAAAAGTCATCAACAGCATCAGTATACATACATACTAAGTGAGGGTTTACTGGTACCACAGCACAGTTGTACATGATTTGTGTGATATACAGATTCAACCCACTGCCTGCCGAGCTGCCCCGTAGCTCAGTGGGTAGAACGCTCACGCTCGGCTTAGACGGCAGCGTGTCGTGGGTTCAAATCCCACCCAGGGCTTGTTTGTTTTCCTTTGAACATATAATGCAGGTGTAGCTGTGTCGTTTGCTTTTGCGGCATTGCTGTTGGTTTTTGAAACCAATGTAGACTCACAGGAGGGTCCGGACACCAGACACAGCCGACTCCCATGGCTATACACTCATCACAACTCTCCCACTGATTGCAGCTGTCTGCCTCCCCTTGACCTGTACAGTACATATATAGTACAGTTCACTTACATACATGAAGGTATTAGACCATGTGATGTGTACATGATTACCTGCACTTACTCACACATGAAAACCACAAACAGTAAACCAAGGCTAATCCACAAAATCCTACACACTAATACAGGAATACCCCTAGGGCTGAAAAAAAAACTCCCGGTTTGCCCACGTATACACAAAACCTAACATGCGCAATCAACTCCGACACTTAAAAAAACAGAAAGTTTGGTAACAATCACTGTACGAACATACATGTACACATGTACATTGATCTCAAAAAATTTATACAATATAGCCAATACCAGTAAGTGTATAAATGGCAATTCGTAATTACTGCATGTTCAGAGGAATTCCAGCTATGCATATTCCATTCCTCCGCACTCTCTATCTAAGCAAATATTAGTGGGCGATATAGAGTGACTAGCTATTATGCATAGGGAAATATCAAACTTTCCTCGTAATAACGACATAATTATAGAGTGGTATGTACCAACATTCGCTAAGTGGTGCAATATCTGCTGTGCATATTATCCATAGTGTGGTACAGTAACTGCATAGAGTGGTAATAACTGCTTGGGTGTGCAATAATAACTGCTGGTCCAGCAACAAACAGGAAGATGGTGGGAGTATAATAATACTATCTATGTAGGACTATGTCAGGAAATGAGGTCAGTTAGTAGCTGCTGGAAGCTTGCTCACAGAGCTGACACCTTTATTGCCCTCTCAACTACAGTCACAGCTAGGAAATAATTATCTCAACTCAAATGCCGCCCTACCATTTCACCTTTACATAGCTATACTATACTATACCTGGCCTTGAGCACAAACAAGCCGGTATAGCTCATGCCACACGGTGTCGCAATGGGCTACCGTGTACTCTCACACACGTTCTCTCTGCTGTGACACTGACAGGCTTTGCCAATATTCACCCGGCAACGAATAATATTATTACAAAGCTAGCCTACGTATAAATGTGTATTAGCTCGGCCAGCTACCATGACACTCACCGTAGCACGTCCCCACGACAGCCAGTAAAAGCAGGAACATCGCTGGTACCATTGAACAGAAACAAGGTGCACACCACTACACAGGCACTTTGCATACGCTCACATTCTCCGTAAACTCTCGGATACTTACTGTATCCGCCCCCGCACACAAGGTTGGGCGTTGTTGCGCATGCGCAGTGTTTATTAGAGCGGGAGATCTTTAATTACATAATAGGAGGTGGTAAAAATAACTAATTGTGGACGTAATGAGTGAAACTGCTCTAACATAAAAGTGTCTTCTAGTTCTGCCTTATCCTGGATGGACGTTTGTAAGCAACATTGGTGTACTCTTGATTTGGAGACACATAGATTGGGTTCTCTTGCTGTGGGGAAAAAAGCAACAGTCATGTTTAGCAAATGTGGTATGTGCTTAAAACTACATTTTACAGTGATTGCATTCAGAAGTGTCTTTCAGTAACACTAAAGTAACGAACAGGTCCCCACTATAGAGAGGTGTCCTCATTATTATGAGCTCAAAACAAATACAATTTTTCAATAGGGCAAAAGTTTTCCATTGGTGGAGAATGCTTAACAGATGGGAATTGGGGTGTGGGTTTAATGAGCATCTGCTTTATAAAGACTGTTGCACACTGTAATGTGGTGGAACTTACAGGAACCCAGTCAGCTTCTTCCAAGTTGTGTTTGAATTTTCTGAATTCAAATCGGTCCTGAAAAGATGGACAGTAGGGACAGATGGTGAAACAATGCAGTTGTACATCACGACATCATGGCTAGGCTGTACACATGTACAATTCCCATGGGTCTGTTATTGTGCAGGGAAAAGTCTCTGTGTGTTGGACATGCTAGTAAAAACACGGAAAACAGTACTTTAGAGGAAGATAAGCACAGCATTTTATATATCATGCCTTGCTGGTATTATACATTAATCACATAAGTAATAATGGCATAAACATTCACATTACAGAGCATGAGTTTAAACTACACTAGGCTTGCATACTTCCCTGCAAATTGCATTATACCAGGCTAGCGTTACAGGAGCTAGTGCCCAGTCAATTTGTACCAGCACCCAGTAAATTTATACGCCTGTGCCTATATATATATTTTTTATTGGTGCTGAGTGGATTTTCATACCAGTGCCCAGAAGATGAAGAGGATCACCAAGAGTGCCAGGAGACCAAGGAATAGGAGGGCACCTATGACTGAGACTGGTATGATCCATATGAGATTGTTGATCTCATTTTCTTGCCCGCCGCAGTCTGCATAATAGGAGGGAGGGAGGGAGGGAGGGAGGGAGGGAGGAAAAAAGAAAAACAACAGATATGGGAGAAAAAGAAAAAGAGAAGAGAAGGAGGAGAGAGTGAAGGAGAACAAGAGAGGAAAAAGAAAGGGAAAAAAGGAAAGGGTGTAGGTGGGGGGATATAAAATAGTCTGAACTACGAGAGAAATGCACCTACACTTTTCACTAAGGATTCCCCTACTAGAGTGGGACCTCTATAGAATAAAAGACACCTCTATAACGTTTCCTAATACTTTCGTGTATTTCTATAAAGGACACCTCTGTATAAGGACAATTTTCATGGTCCCAGTGTGTCCTATATACAACCTTAATGTTCAATGTACGAAGGAGTAATTAGCATGGTTCCTTAAGTTCTTCACTCTGATGATGGCAGATACACCACTGTATGTATAAAGCTCAGCTAAAAAAAGGCAGATAAACTACACATACACACGTTGGTCCTTCGTTCTGAGAACACAACTGACCTTCTCCTGGTTCGACGTACACAGTCTGGTGGGAGAGAGAGACGTAGAAGGTGTGGGTGCAGCCATCAGCCTGGAATGTGCACTCCAGATTGCGAGTGTCTACATAGATGGCGGTGTTTGCGTGTGCGTGCAGTTGACTGTGTTATTAGATGCGTTTGTACACGCACAGCACAAACCTAACACAGCAGACTTTGTGCTTATTCTAGGGGAGTAGCTACACCGTGTTTTTGTTATGTTAGTCGTTTGGTACAGTTATAGGAATAAATGACAAGAAAATAACAGAGCGCAAGACCTTTGAATAATGTTGACGTGATGCATTAATTTTCAGTCTTTAAGTTTGGTGGTTGCCTGGGATCTTCAAAACTTTTGCTACATTTATGTACAGTGGAATTCCTGACACCAATATTATGATTGAAAGGAAAGTGTCCATAATTAGTGAGGTGTCCTTATTTCAGTGGTTAATGTCATGTTAGAAACAGCATGTCCTTACTAGAGGGGTGTCCTCATTTCAGGTGTGTCCTTGGAACTACAGTATGGAGTTGAAACTGACCGGGAAGACTGGCGTCGCCAGTGAGTAAGATTGGGTCGCACCCTTCGTCTCGCCGTAGTTGATTGCAGTCAGTGGACGAGCTCTGAAGGTTCTTGGCACAACGGGCACACTGCTCCCTCCTGCTGCAGGGAGGAGGCCCCTGCAATAATTAGACCACAGATCTTAACAAAGAATGGGTCCACAAACACTATTTAACACACAATTTTGTACACATGCCTCTGCTAACTTATCGTATAGCAAGAAACTAATGAATTTCACAAAAATGTTGAAAAACCTTTCACAGACTACCGGCTATACTATACAAATAGCAGTTTCCCTAAATATCATGTAGAGAAAAATTATCCTAAAAAAGAACAAAATTCACGAAATTTTATCCCTCGAAACGTTTTCAAAATACACATTATACCCAATCTGTATAAAAAGGGATGCCGATACTTGTTGAGTGAATTGTGGTGCGTTTCTTTCGTGTCACTGACACTATAGTCATGTTAGATGGTACGACTGTCACTTACTGGACTACATGTCCCGTCACCAGCTGGTACTGCGTTGTTTCCGTTGAAATCACACAGACAGGTATTACATCCACATTCTGCATCTCCGAGACTACCCAGACTACCAGTGAAGGCACACGTCCTCTGTGACATACAGACAGACAGAGAGAGAGAGAGTCATACGCACACACACACACACGTATATCTCTTCTTTTTCCTTGGAAAAAAAACTGTCCTGGGTGTAGTTGTTTGTTGTGCCTTTGCCTCTCACCTCGTACAGTTTTCACATACAAGGTATATACATACATACACATACACGAGGTACCAGATAACATACATACAATGAGAGTTACATGGAAGGCTGTTCTCTCCTTCTGTTTCCCTGTTGTGTGGGTGTACATACAAACACAAACCCACTTGCAGCGGTTGTAGGTAAACGTAGTTTGTGTATAAGTGCACAGCACAGCCGGCCATAAAAGCCCCACACAATAATAAACATACACGTTGTATGTGTAGAGTACACGTACATTGGGGTAGTCTGTGTTGAAGCAGGCATCAGGATTGCATTCACACAGGTCTCCAGTATACAGTCGTCCAGAGATGGGGCCAGTGGCACTACACACACACTTGCCAGATGGACAATCACACGTACCTCGCCCTGTAGATTCAGTGCATGGTGGTCTATGGTAACACGATACCATAGTTGTACTAAGTAGCTCGTAGTGGTGAATGTATAGCAATAGCACTTTTATTTCAAAATCTGGCAAACAAATTTTTGTTAACGAGTTCGCAGGAAGATCTACAAATGTATTCAAACCACGGCTAGGTCTTCCGTCTGGATTTAGTCAGAGAGAAACAGCTGGTGGATCCATACATTGTCAGTAATACGTAATTTTTTTGGCAGGCACGTCAATAAATGATATTAGAAACCAACCACCCCTGACAATTTTACTATAGTGAATGAGACTCTCTCACATCTCACTGCACCTTTGTCTATTATACATGTATCCCCCTACCCCTTCTCCCCACCACTACGATTACATCATATATTCCGTGTCACACCTCCTCTGAACCACATGTGTACAATTGTGGGTGTGGTGGGTGTGGCATACGTACCTGAACAGAGCTGCCCCTGGTCGTTAATACCACCACATGAGGTGAGGTGGTCACACTGACACTGCTCTCCAAAATACAGCTTCGTCATGTTCCTCTGTAGAACGCAGTTACATTATAGCAACACCACATGTTAACAGAGACTTGCCTATGTATGTACGTATGTATGTACTCTACTGGTGCTGTGTTAAGTGACTGATGAAAATAGGGTGGCCTGTTTTTGCCTTTTTCACATGAAGGTGAAGGGAACGACGGACAAACCAACTATCTTGAATACATTGGTTTATAGCTGGAGAGTGTAATGCAAACCACCCTCAAGCATTGGTATAACATATGACTGTGTGTCAACTCCACCAATGAGCTGAGCAATTAACCCATTATAATACATGGGTGTCAATTGTAACAAAGGGTTGTAGGAGCAACAGTGAAAAACAGGGTGGCTGTTTGTTGCATTTGTAACGTGAGGTTTGGGAGACGAACAGGCCAACCTTTGCCTGAATGCCCACTAGGTTGAGCAATGTGTCATTGTGGTCCACGCCAACTCACGGTTCTGAGCAGTTGGTCCTGCACATAGCACGCACACTGGCCGCAGTCACACTCCCCTCTCTTCCTCCCCGAACACTCTTCAGTCACTTCCTCAGTCCTGGTGTAACACACACACACACAGATTGACATGTCTCACCTAACGGACATTGATACCGTATTAAAAAAGCTGGTTTTGGCTGTGTCCCATATGTTTCAATACTTTCACCTCAAAGAGAAGTGACCTTAGCATACACTTAGCTGTGACCAGCCAACAGCCACCATGCGTAGGTTTCAAACGTTCATTACTACTCTGTTTACACAGTCTCACTCCCCACTATAACTTCAGGGTGTGGTCACAATTATGTTGGTATCACGAACCCAATGGCTATCACTATCAAGTCTAGTCAAGCATAATCACAAGGTGTAATAGCACACACATACATACACACACATACACACACATACATACTTGCAAGTATTTGTTGTCTGGTCTTCACACTCACACTGACTGCCACTTCTGTTAGGAGTAGTTGACAAAAAAACATAAACACACTATCTGTTTTGTTATTTGCTGTATATACATACATACGTACGCACATCCCAGACAAATTTGTCCATCCCTATATACACTTTAAATCTGAGCACACATGTTGTTTGTGTGTGCATGTCGTGTATAAATAGGCAAGTACAAACTAACTACATGTGCGTATGTACATGTATGTATGTAGGTTCTGACCTTCCTTCATTGCAGTGGCAGACTCCACAAGTCAGATTCCCGGCTCCACTGCACTGGCTGGCATTAGGTTCCTAGGTACATGAGACACAGAGAGATTTAGGCACACACAGAGGGGAGGAGGCTAAAGTGTGTGTGCTACATTTACATACGTACCTATACACTAGTCGAAAAGCCTTTCGTCTAGCATATCAACAGTATGCAGTAGGCTTACAGTTGGAGAGAAACGACTATTTACATACAATATCTGTGTGGTGGTTACGTATGTCATCAAGTAAAACAGCTCATCACACTGTATGCCACCCATTTATGTACCACATATGTATGCAATACATCTAAGAAGGAGGGAGGGAGAGAGAGGGGGGGAGAGAGAGAGAGAGAGGAGAGGAGAGAGAGAGAGAAAGAGACAGAGAGAGAGGTGGGAGGAAAAGGCTATACATAGATACTTACTTGTTCCAGAGAGCAGTCACACTGACACAGTGGGACCAACTCCAACGTAACTGCTCCAAATGCAGCTGACCTCAAATTCACACTACACGTGATGGGGGGGGGGAGTATTTCACAACACCATGCAACATGCAAACGATACCACATTCTTCAAACTTTACTACTCTCTATTCTACGCACATTCAACAATATCCATCCATATGTACGTACGTGGTGATATTAGGAAGACAGGAGGTCATGTTGACTGTCACCACGAGCGACACAGACGAGTTCAGAGTTATATCTGAGCATACTGCACCATTCCCCGATCTGGATCAAACATTACACCATTTTAATGTTGTATGTATATACCTCATAATGTAGTAACTAGGGGAATAAGGGTACATAACGTCTAGTGTGGAAGCATGCCATTCTCTGTTCAACTCACAGTCTGCAGTTTTCAGCGTCGCTGTAGGCGAAGGTGACCTGAGGCAGCTCCTTGTCTGGAGTCAGCCTAATCTCCTGAGTGATGTTCTGTAAGAAAAATCCATAAAATTTATTACTTCTGAGGGTAGCTGTGGTACAGGTTGATAATCAGCTCTCTCCTCCCTCCTGGTGATTAGGCCACCCATTCACTGCTAGGTGATTTACATTATTCAGGCTTGTTGGTAGGCCTGAATCCCACTTGCTTGCTAAATTTGCACTGCGTTACCAAGCTATGTACAAGATATTTGAGAAGGTTGGTTGGCCGGGTTTTCCTCAAACTTGTTTGTTAAAAGTACGAACAAATCAGGCCGTCCTATATTAACACAGTTCCCTCTGACTTTTTGCACTGCACTCTCCAGCTATAGCCAAAGGTAGTCAGGGTGGTTAGTTAGCCTGTCTTTCTTCCTTCTTGCTTGCAAAAAGTACAAAAAGTGTAGTCCATCCTATACTGCACTCTCCAGCTATAGCCAAGGGTAGTCAGGATGGTTGGTTAGCCTGTCTTTCTTCACACTTGCTTGCAAAAAGTACAAAAAGTTTAGTCCATCCTATACTGCACTCTCCAGCTATAGCCAAGGTAGTCAGGATGGTTGGTTAGCCTGTCTTTCTTCACACTTTCTTGCTAAAAGTACGAAGAATTTAGGCCGCTTAAAATTAACTACCTGTGCAGATCTAATCAGAATTGATGGCCAGTCCTTGTCTCTCATACCCTCAACAGTACACATGTACGTATCACATTACTCTTCACGTGTTTAAGAATGATATAACATTACGGTATGTGCAGTGCTGATTGAACGTTACAGTCATACTACTAGGCAGGCTCGCTTTGCTCACCAATTAAGGAAATTACAATAGGGGCTCACGTCATAGCTGCTCCTAATGACAGACACCAGGTTGCTAGCGTCGGCCTCCAGAGAAGTGATCTGTAGCATTGCCCCCAACTTCAGTTCCTCCTTCAGGTCCTGCAGTACACCAGCAGTACATGAGGGGTTAATTAATAATGGTATAAATTGTATTGTGTGCATGTATGTATGTATACATTCATCCGGTATGCTGGATGAAGCAGTTTGTTTAAAGTATTGAGTTCAGTGAAGTTAACCAAAATAGTTGTAAAACATAGATAGGACAGCATGAACCCCGTATTTTGTTCCAACACATTCGGGTTTGAATTGGGGCGGATAATAATAGGCAACATGGTGGCAATCATCGAAGGGGCTCACCCCATAAGGGCTGGGTGTGGATCGGCTGGTACTGATGGCAAACACCACGTTGGTCTGGGAGCTCTGAATGAGCTGTCTCAACTGGTAGACTGACGGGTAGTCCTGTATGTGATGAACAACACGATATACAGTACACTTCATTGTAGTCCAGATTAGAGGGGTTCCACTGGACTGAGGTGTGAGGATTAGACAGCTTTCTTTACTGGATTCCTAGTACACACACGCCTTACACGCATCCCAATCCCACGACAGGTATACACACTGATATACATAATAGGCTGAAAATGCACTGACAAGTAAGTCAGAAGGAGAAGAAAACAGAGAGAAGAAACAGCTCTCTGCATGTGATTTGAACTCACCACCTCTATGCTGTTAACACAAAACGATCTATCCTGCGATGTACATCACACAGCTATTAGTATGCAGTAGTTCACAATAGAATTACGATATACATAACGTACTAGCACTCGCGATCCTTGCGATGTAGTCATAGACAGTTCTTCCGTCTACTTCTCTCTGCTCCAGAAAACACTCCCCGGGGTTGGGCTCTATGGCTGCACCAACCTGCACACCACACAGCAATGCGTGCACTGTGACACCGTATCATGTGCCACCAAACGCTGCCAAACACACACGTATTTTTGCCATACAAATTATATGAAGAACGAACATGCATTTTCACGTGTCTATCTATATCTATATACTCCTATAAATAGCGTAGCATAGTCGGTATAATACACGAGAGATGAAGCGTCACAACAAACAGCTGTAGACAGATTGGCAGCTCTATCATCACACTGTTTTAGGCGGACTCATTCCAAGCCTTAGTTACAGATTTATCTCCCCCATTAAAGGGAATGTCGGGCAGTACTGTATATAAGGCCTAAACTTTAGAAATGTTACTAAGGATAGAACAAACCATTAGGGCACAGTGAAAGAATGCAATCGAGTTCCGTTTTTTTTAGTAGCATTCTAAATTATTTAGCCTTCAGATACTGCCACATCCCCTTTAAATAATACTTATGCAAGCCTTAATCGGATATCATGTCAATAGTTATGTATACCTTTCCATCCGCAGGTGAAAGTGGCGTTTGTCATGTACACAGCATTCGCAGACTTGGGTTTCTCCAGGCTATTGTCTGTGGGTATAGAATATACAACAGATTAGTACATAGCTCATTTGAATCGAGTAATTTGATTGTCTAACTGATATTTAGTAATGTTGTATACTAATTGTGTATACACCCTGTTGTTATATACTGGACATGTGCATGAATGTATTCAAGGGCCCATTGGGTTGTGCCATAACAAGTTGATCATTGTGTATGCAATGGTAAGACACTTTACTTCCTCAACATCCCTCTTTCGCTTGTATTCGTTGTCCCTTTGCCATCACCTCAATAAAATGGTGTCAACGATTTTGGCAGTTTTTTTGTAGGGTATGGTGGTAAAAAAGAGACAAACCAACTATCCTTAATACGTTTGACAGAGTTTGTGTATGGAATGTACATTTCTATCTCGCTGCATCTCACCCAAAATTCCCCTGTCCCCCCTTCTATAAGGACTTCACGATTTTGCATTTTTGTAGGCACAAGAGTTGAAAAAAGAGACAAACAAATATCCTTAATATTTGACTAGAATTGGTGTATGATGGTAGCTCTTCTATCTCATGCACCCTAAATTCCTTATCTCGCACAGTATTCATTGTCCCCCCTAAATAAGGTGTCAACGATATTGCGCCAATTAGAAGAAACAAGCCAACCATCCTAATATTATTTAGTTATGGAATAGTATGTACTCTTGAATTTCTGACTATATTCTATCTAGATCATCGACATTTTTCTCGCCTCCATTTCACTGTCTCCTACCTCCAAACCTCCTAATAAGGGTGTAGCTATAACTTATTGCACTTCTACTGAACTCTTGTACTACTAACCAGTTCTCTATCTGAGAACTCTATGCTATCTCATTATAGTTATCGACCTTTCCGACTCGAACGTATATGTCTTTGCCAAAGTATCCACATATAGTGAGAACATTGCTAAACTTAGACGTGTGTGCAGAACCGAATCTCTGCATTTTGTGATTGAGTGCGCGTCGACAACCAGGTAATAAAAAAGACAAAGCCAATCCATTAGTAATGTGATCTGCTTCAATATTAACTCGTACTCTGTGTTTCTGCAAACCTCCCTTATCTACCTTTATGGAACCGCTTTCTTCACCTTATACTTTTTTTGCTTGTCTCTTTGCAACTTCTCACCCCACTAACCTCTAAAAAGTGGTGTCAACGATTCTCTGCATTTGTGTCAGGACACATTCAGTGCAAGAACAAACCAAGCCAATCATCCACCAATAGTTTTGACTACTTAATTGGGCAAGGTAGTGGGGGGAATAAGTAAAATGGTCACCTGTCCTATATAGTGTGTGAATTGCTCTTATATGTCCGCTTTCTAACGTCTCGATCTGCTAGAACGCCGGCTGCCACAATCTGCTCAGAGCTTTCTGAATAAGTTCTAGACCCCTTCTAGCCAATTACTTCACTCGCTCTCGGCCACTCGCTCTCCTCACTCTCTTCTCACCACCGTCTCATATTTCTTACGAACATCTCTCACTCAGTGTGGCGAGATTCGAACCACATCAATGTGATCCTTTCCGATTGGAACTTACCTTCTCCACCCTAATCATATCTCTCTAGGGTAATTCTGTTCCGCTCTGCACATCCAGAGCCTCAATCCTCCTCCAGCGCTATGCATTGTACGTGATACAGTGGTTGGAGCTCACTTAAAGGAGTCAGGATGGTGGTCATGTGTGTGTCTCTCACTAAGTAGAACAGAAACAGCCGCAAGCGGCACCTCAATTCCGTAATGCTTGCTGAGGGATATGTTCTACTAGAGTTTAACTTGAATGTCAATGAGTTGTTTATGGTTGTACTATTGCCATGCACATTCCCCTGATCCTGCCGTACATCAAAAAGCTTGCATTTTCACCTCAAACTCTTCTTCGGCCAGGTCCTAATTTTTCTTGATGTTGTATGTATAGTTCCTGTCATTTTAGCCTTACCATATTAATCTGTGATTAACAGAATAAGACAACGTGAGATATTATTAGTATTACACTTGTATACATATTTTCGCTAAAACACAGCATGTTACCATCACTCATGATAGCGTGTTACATTCAGTGCCTTATGGAGACTATGCCAATCTACAAGATTCCATCTCCATCCTTTTCCTTCCAGTTAAGTCCAACATTTGGCATGGAGTCATTGCAAAATGTTTTTTCAAGTTACTTCTCTACCGTAGAAAATCTTATCCTATTCATCAGTATGTATTACCGTCTCATATGTAGTACATAGGTGGACCTAGCTACTTTTCTTCTTATCAGCTTTAGTGAGGTATCGCGTTATTTTCCATGTAGAGCGAACGAGATTAAGAAATGAGAAGGATGTGAAGAGACATAGAAAAGGAGGATGGAGGTCGATGGATCAATTAAAACACTAGATAGCTGTGGTGGATTAAGGGGAATGACACGAGAATAGCGCGTTGTCTTGAACTACATATGTGTTTGGGTTGCGTCACCCCTTGGTTATCCAGTTGGTTGGCACATCGCCAGGATTTACAAAAGACTAGGAGGACGAAAGCTATAATATACGGCACAAGTGTAAATAGTCAACCATGTAAGTACCTGATAGAGCTGCTCTGGAAACTCAACCCGCACCTCTCTTGTATAACACAGTGTTTTCAGGCACGCGTGAAATGCGAGCCCCTGAACATTATCTTTTATATAATATATCCACAAAATCTACAGGAGCTCGTTCACATCAGGATTACATGACATACTTGTATTTAGTGCAACTGTAGCTTGTGTGCGAGGGTCCTGGTTGGCTAAGGCATATGGGTATGGCCCTTTGTCGCCAGACAACCGCACCAAATGCAATTGCATATCTCTCAGATATAGCTCTGAAGAAGCTTGAGACTGCAGAAAAAATACAGTTGCAACCCTCCAATTAAGGGACCCTCCGAGGATCAGGGACGACCTCTCTTACAAAGGACAGTTGTTTTTCAAACCCCCAATGCCAAGTGTGTTATATTTGACTACTAACATACGGACGACCTCTCTTACAGCGGACAAAACTGTTTCCCCCGCATAGTGTCCTTTGTTCCCACGTAACACAACTTACAGTAAGTAAAGTAAGTAACCAATATTTGATGCTGTAAAAAGAGGAATCAGTAAAGATGGAGGAGTTAGAGAGAGAGAAGAAGAGGGGGGTGGGATGGATAGAGTGCAGTAAGGTGCTAGGTTCACAAATATGGCCATTGGGCCCCGTCGCCCACCGTGCCGCGTTTGTCGTTCCTGCGCGAGATTAGAAATGGAGTCTACCTCACGGCACGGGCGCGAAACAAGCCAATGTGACCATTTATTGTGAACCCATGCCACCCCAACGAAGAAGATTTTGAGGGAAAGGGGCCAGAGATTTCTCTTCTTCCTTTTTTTTTTTT